AGCCAGACAGATTGTTCTTCGGATTGCGAATTTATAAACTCGAAACGTGCCACGATAAAGTTTTCCTGATGCTTTGGGAAACAGCATTGATATTTCTTTAGATATATTTTTCTGATTAGGATTCAAATAATTTAAATTTACAATATTATAGAAATATTATATTTTGTCAAAATATATGCTTTCCAGCTTGTTCTGATTGTAATAAAAAATTCATTATCAAAGAAGTTAAAGAAATTCGTCAACCTCCCAATCAGCAAAGCTCCCCATTCCTTCATTAACTTCTGCATGTGAGCTCCTCAAATCATTCACATTTCCAGTTTTTGTATCTTTCATCTCATGTCGCCAAGCATTTAATTTAGCTTACATCCCACAATTTTCCGCTTCTCCTTCTGGGAAGTGTCTGCTGTTGGCGTTTACTTTCGTTTTAATTTGGCAGCCCGCATAATTTTGCTATGATTTGCACTTCTTAATTAATTATTTTTCGTTTTCGGCACCCAAAGCGGATTTGAAGGAGCTGTGTCAGCACATATTCACACATGTTCGTGTGTTTTTCCGGATGGGGAAACCCTTTCCCCACACATACCCACACACGCACAAGAAAACAAACTTCGGGAAAAACTTTCTCCTTCAAGGCGAAAGTATAGAGAAGGGGTTATTAACCGGAAGTTGGAATCTGAAATCCGGCAAATTCTTTCCTTTGTTTAGGCACTGCGAACAAGGAAATTTGCTGGAAATCCTCATCGGTGTCCCTTTGCCTTAATGCAGTTAAGTGAAAATTCTCATTTGTTTGTTGACCCCCATCCCATTCTGCACCCTTTTAAACAGCATATACACATGGCGAAAATCACAATTTAAAAAGTTACTTGCCTATTTTGCATTTAATTCAGATTTTAAAAATACTTATAATACTAATATTCTACTTATATTAGCATTTATAAAATAAATCTTTCACTTATATTTCACACACTGTATATAATTCCAAACTATTCATTATTTGTAACGGAAAAATGAGTTATTAATATTAGCAATAATATTATTTCCTACGAACTATTAACTTATTTCAAAGGCTTATTGTTATTTAATTAATATTTAAGTTTCCAGGCATTTCAGTAATAGGTCTGACAAATAAATACAATTTTAAGCTCGGGGCCACGATTTACGGACGATTGTTATCTAAGGGGAATTTTCATTACCCTCTATTACTTGTTCGCTGGCTTACCTGCCACCCCACTGCGTATGCGTAATATTGGCAAAAAATCAATGCAATAATCCGCATTCAATGGAAAAGGCTTAGCTCAGCTAAAGCCCCCAGCTCATGGCAATTGACAGGAAGTGAAGCGTTGCCGGCATCCAGAAACAGACATGCCAAAGCATTTTTTTGTTTCACCAGCCACCCGATGCCTTTTTCTATTAGTTCTGATTAAGCTTTTGTCGATTCGTTCCATTGTCAATTGCATTTGGCGTTGGCTTTTTGTGTGTGCATGCAAATTGGTATCCGACAGCTGCTCATTACTTAGACGCTTAACCACGCGTCGTTTTTTTGGCTTTGCATTTCGGGGCGATTAAAGTTGCGCCCGGACGCCACCTGGCATACGGAAATTGAAAATTTCGCGAGGGTGCCAAATGTCAAAGTGCCAGCAGCCACACCCACAATACCCCCGCCCACATTGCCCGCAACACACGCAGAAGAATCCGGCGTTCGACATCTCCATTCGAATCACCATCTCCATTGGCATCTGGCATGCCATCCCGGTCGCACATCTCGCATCTCATTCATCGCCGGGGCATGTAAATTGCTCCGGCAAACAAATCACGTATACGCACACTGGAAGAAAATCAAAAATAATTGATTGCCTCTTGGATGATCTTTTGAACTTTCATCAGGAAATCATTTACCTGCATGGTATAATTGGTATAATTGTTTAAATATCTGATATAATAATCTGATATATAATTCTTTAAGTATCTGATTTGTGTAGTTGTAATTTAAATTTAAAATTTTTAATTGGAAAAATATTAAAGATTTTATAATCCAATCTTTTAACAAAAAAAATTGCTGCTAAATAATTTTTGCGTGATTAAATAATTTAAAGTGTTTCCCAGTGATCCCAAGGGTTTCCTTTAAAACTAAAAACAGCTTGTTCTTAAAATTCATAATCGATATAGACCAGAAATAAAGTTTAATCTAGCGAAGCTTTTTATTTTTCCCTGTGCATAACGTATACGCCATGCGATGCGCTTCGCTCTCGTTCCGTTGTCGTCATATCAAAAGCCAGAAAAGGCTGCTGGATTTTTGCGGTCTGTAGCTGAAAGGCTAAGCAACCGCATTGAGTGACTGAGTGCCGTTATTTGGCCAAGTCCCCCATCTGAACCCACCGTATCCCTTTCGGATGCCGGTATCCTGGAATCGGGATCCAGGGGCCTAAGCAACCACAACCGGAAACGGGTCCGACCAAACGTCTAGCTCGCTTTGTCTGCTTGGATTTCTGCGCTGTACTTCCACATGCCCATACTCACACACACTTCCTGTGTGGATATATATTTGATATTCGAGTCCTTTAAGAATTTAGTGCACCATTGGCATGTGCATGTGTACATCTGTCTTTTCTAGATGTAAAGTAAATATTGAAAAGAGCAGCGTATGATATTGAAATGTAAGACAATATTTAACGAATAACATTTTCATGGACCATGAAAATGCTTTCCGATTTTTGCAAGATAAATAAGCGATTATTTTCAGAATGAAACCAAGGGTTATAATCTTCAGCCGCAACGAAGATTTTCAAAAGAATATATTTGATTATATTTAAAATTTATTTTTGTAATTTAAAATATTAAACCAGTTATAGCTATTTAAGAAAGTTTTGTGTATGTTTCGAAATTTCTATGAAAATCAAAATTTATTCAATTTACTACAAGGACAACTTTTGTTGATGCGGAAAAGTTTTTATTGAATTTTGTAGATCAATTTATCGATTTCCGGTTGATTTCTAAAAAATTGTTTCTATTACTTTTTAATTTTTTATAAGGGAATACATCATCATTTTTTGTACAAAATGACAGTAAGACTGTCTGTTTTTTGCTAAAATTAAAATTACAAATATAACGTTTTGTAATGAAAACCAGTGCACCGCAGACGCCGAACTTGCAAATCATTTTGCAAGCCCTAATGAAAAAGTCTTGGTAATTACTTGAAAATATGCATTAAAAACTTTTCGCCCGCAGCAGCAGAAGATAATAATAAATAAGGCAGGGAGTGAAAGGAAGCCAGGCACAGCACTTGATATTGAATCAATTAAAAGAAAAACTCGACAAGGCAATGATGCAACAAATTAAGACGCATGCGAACCGAGCTAATGAAATTCTAAGGCTCAGATGGTTAGGAAAAGGCCACCACCTACCACACAGAAAAAGGGGACTGGGAAATGAGTAAGTTCAGGGCTTCCCCCCAACTCTTTCTATAGACAAGGGCGGAAATTACCGAAAAATTGTGCCGAGCAGATGAACAACAACAATAAACTTGGCCCAAAAAATTAAGGCAAGTGGAGTTAAAAGTTAAGCCAACAAATGAAGATGGTGGATGGTAGTGAAAATGGAATAAGATGGGGGAGGATTGGGAAGGGAGAAGAGTCGGATGAATGGGAAGTGCAGGCGCTCTGAGCCTGACGTATGGCCTATCGCACATACATATACACTGAAAGAAATCATGTATTTTTAAGCCAAAAATATTTATTTATTTAACATTATCAATCAATCATGACATCTAAGAGTCTTTAAGGTTTCTTTATTATTATTAATTTCTTATAAATAATGTTTGACACTTTGTTATTTTATTTTTTTTCTGTGTACATGTGGGCTACACACAGAGACAGATACAGATGCCGGGGCCAACTTCAAGCGCAATTTTACGCAACAACAAAAAGTTTAATTGAGGATAAACTTTGCTGCGTTTGCGCTGCTGTTGAAAATCAACCAACGTCGACATGGAAAATTTCCCCCAACCCAGGGAAAATCGTGGAAAACTTTGCCGGAGGAGGGGTAGTGAAAAGAGGCCTTAGTAGTGTAGCTGTTTAAGTTTTCGCTTTCTACTCGGCATTACTTTCTTAATTTCCTTTTTTCTGGTGTTGCGTTGTTTGCGGCCAAACTTTAGCTTAAAGCTACCCACATTGTTTCATGGCTTTAAAAAGAATGAAGGAAAACACGAAAGTAAATTGAACATTTATTGGTCATTCATTGCGCTTCGCTTCTTGCATTGTTTGTCAAATGCCAAATGAATGGCAAATATCGATGAAAAGGAAATGAAAAACGATTCGACCCGGAGTGGCCTTCCCACGACCTGAGCCACCAACCCACCAACCCACCTCCCAACCAACCAATATTTGTTACCAGAAAAACCCCACACACACATTACATACATGTGCCATAATTCGTCCTTAGAAGCGTAGACGAAGCCAATGTGGGAAACTGAAACACAAATGACCTGAATAAAAAGCGACGACGCGACACAAACGATTGACTCTACATGTTTGAGGGGTATTCGTGGTCATGGGAGGTTACACCTCAAAAGTGGACCAACAAATGACGGATATTCTAAGTTCAATGGGTATTTTTGAGTTGATTTATTTCAGAAATGTAAATGTTATAAAACAAATTGTATATTAGTTAATCACACTTTTTAATCCCATGTATTAGGAGTTTATTTTGTAAAGGCATATAATTATTTTAAAATTTCAAATCTTACATCGAAATGGGATCTCTGCATAGACATCCTCATACTCTTCATTTCCTTTTTAAAACTCCTTTAGTTTTAAAGGTATACATTTTTGCAAAAAATAAAAAATATAAATACCATATTTTAACAGCTTCATAAATATTTTTGTCAAAGGACTTTATCCAAATACCCTTTACGAATTACCTGAAAAATCAGCCCAACGAGGCGAGAATAAAAAATGCAGTGCATTTTTATTTTTTTTTACCAATTTTAACGAGTTTTATTAAGGGCTATCAGTCATTGAACACACAAACGGTTGCTTAATCCCTGGGGTACGAATGGAGTGTATGTGCTTGTTTTTTCTTTTACCACAAAGCGGGCGCGGCATAGCCCAAAGGAGCTGGGGCATAGGCCAGTGGAGCCGTGTATTTGGCCAAAAGGGGAGCGGCATAGGGATGGGTGTAGGGTGCAGCAAATGGAGTGGCAATGGGAGCAGCAAACGGAGTCACTCTGTTCAGGATCGGGGCGGCCAGAGGAGCGGGAACTGGAGCGGCGAAGGCAACGGGAGCAGGAGCAGCCAGGGGAGCAGCCAAAGGAGCAGTCAAAGGAGCAGCTAAAGGAGCAGCTAGAGGAGCAGCCAGTGTCCTCAAAACTGGAGCAGGTGCCACCGGAACTTGGGCAATCAACGGGGCATGGGCAATGCCATTGAAGGTCCTTGCCACCACTTGGCTACTGGCGGCGGTCACAACTGGAGCAGGAGCAGCCAGCAGAGGAGCGGGAAGAGCTGCCAGCGGAGCATGTAGCAATCCTGGCTTGCCAGCCACACAGGCAATCAGAGCGCAAATGACAACGGCCTACAATAAGTCAAGAAATTAATTAAAAACACCCATTAAATTTACTTGGCAAAGCAAAACTAACGTATTTGAACATGATGATTCCTTTTTTTGTTTTTTTGATTTAAAGCTGAGCTTGGGTTGACTTGAAAGCAATGAGCTGACTGATGACAAACGAAGGCGGCCGCTGGCGTATTTATACCACTGAATGGCACACGTGGCGGCTACTTAATATTCTTAGAGTGCGCCGACCGTTGGCCCATTATAAGTGTCTGAAAAATATTAGTTGGTGGCTTTTCGGTTTTAGGTCTTTGAGGGACGGCATAAAACCCGAAGGGCAGCCAATTGCACTCGCTGGCTAATTATACAGAAATTGGTTTTAACTGCAATTTCGATTTCATTTGGAATTTACCATATTCGCTTGATGTGAGCAATGCAAACTAACAAATAGGTTAATTGGTAGTGACACAAGCGTATTTTTATATTTACTTAGCAAACTCTTCTTAAATGCATGACATCCCAAACTAACCACAACCCTTGGTTGAAATTTATTGGTGTTTCAGGTCAGAAATTAAGCAAAAATGGTGATAACAATAGTCCAAGAGAACATTTCTCACACATGAACCTAACCCTTTGGTTTTGGCTGCCAGGCATTTTCATTGAAAACCTGTTGGCAGCCACAAAATATATATATATAGAGACTAGTCCAGGCATCCCGGCCAATTAAGCATTTTGAGCACGTGCCGACTTTGGTCAGCAGTAGAAAGCACACATGAACGCACTCGAATGATTTTGGGAACTCCTCTGCTGGACGGCCACATTACAACATATATTGTTTTGGCCATCCGGGTCAAGGTTGTAGTGCGGTTGTGGTTGACTGACCTTTGCTATTTGTTTATTAAAAAATATATTGGCAACAGAACATGTGTTGTTTTTTTTTATATTTGAAAGAAATTATAAAGAAACGAAAGCTTCTGTTTTGTATGAATGTAGGCTATAAATACTATCATCACCCTAAATCTGGTACTTTTTAAACTCAGATTTTAATTCTTCAAATTCAAAACAAAAAAACATTGCAAGCATTAATGCTTCATACTTTCTTCCTTCTTTAACAAAATCTTTTTTTTATTTCGTAGAGAACTGGAACTATTTTTATTTTTACTCTTGAATAAATTTGCAAAAAATTTGTTGAACCTTGATGTGGCTTCACTTTCAAAATAATTTCGGATACCTTCGGTTATAAAGAGATATATATGTACAATGCTATAGTAGTACGCTTATTACAGTTAGCCGGTGCGATGCGCCTTCTGAATGCTAATTCTTTACCGGGTTGTCACGTTCTCTTTCAAATCCATAAAAATAAATCGAATTGGATGGACCGCACGTTAAAACCCATTTTTTTCAAGAAATAACGAACTACTACAAAATTGCAAAAGAGACTTAATTTAATCTGTTTCCTGGTTTCCATTTTCTTGCAATTTTTGTTGACCCAGAAAGATCGTAAAATCAAGGGGACGAATTTAATTTTACTTTTCGTTTATTTTATTGTAATATAATTTGTAAGTACAAATTTAAACGGCAGTTCATTTTGTCAGCCAGTTTAAAATTAAACTAATTAAAAATTCAATTATTTCTTGTCTAGAGAAATTATCTAGGCCAAAAAATTTGTATAAATATATGTAGTATATAAAAAATGAATTAAGGGAATAAATATTTATTAGAATTTAATTTTTTCTGGTATTTAAATTATAAGGCAGAACTCATTTTAAATTTACTTTTCTTGAACTGTGTCATTATTTAATTCACTTAGCCCTCAAAAGTTCATTAGCCCTCGACATCCCAGCGACCTTGACATAATTGCATGTATTTGTCGACAGCAACTTCAAAACAAACCATTTTGGCCACTCTTAAATATCACGCATCCAGCGACGGCTGCCGCTGGCCAATAACTTGTCCACTGGCTACGTGAGCTGCATCCGCAAATGGCCACTGGAGTGCCAGTGGTCGGTCATTACTGTTGTTTATGGCCACGACCCGCTGACAGTGGCTAATTCAATTAAAATTGTCCAGCAGTTCAGCACTTCCCCGCCCATCGAAACCCTTGTAATTCTTTGTGTTTTCCTTTAATTTTAATACGTTTATAGATCAGTCAAAGTTCCTACAGGAGAACTGGAGCGGCAGCTGGGAGGGCATTGTACGCCAGTGGGGAGGTGTAGGCCAAGGGGGAGGTGTACGCCAGTGGGGAGGAGTAGGCCAAAGGAGCCGCCAGAGGAGCAGCTGCGTACTTGGCAACCACGGGAGCAGCCACTGGAGCAATCACTGGAGCAGCGGCGATTCCATTGAAGTTCCTGGCGGTCACCTGGCTACTGGTTGCGGTCACAACTGGAGCAGGTGCAGCCACCACAGCAGCGGGAGCAGAGTAGGCCAGAGGAGCAGTGTAAGCCAGTGGGGAAGTGTAGGCCAGAGGAGCACCCAGAAGTCCTGGCTTGGCAGCAGCACAGGCAACGAGAGCGAGGACAACGACGGCCTGGAAATAAAGAGGTTCGATTAATATTATCCTTTATAGCTCAATTCTTGAAGGACCTACGTATTTGAACATGGTGGCTATATTTCTTTGTTTGCTTCTTGGGAAGGCTAGAAACGATTTGATGTCCAACCACTCTTGGTCGAGCATATTTATACCCAAAAGTTGTATTCAAGTCTGACTCATGATCGTGCGTATTGAGTTCATTTAAATGCTGCGACAGTCTCCCGTTACCATTTGCACTTTACCATACTTTATGTTATTTCCCACTACTGAATGTCGAATAAATGTTGGTATGCAGTGGATTCGAAGGCCTAAGGTCACAGACGAAGACGATTTGGGTGTATAAATAGCGACAAGAAAAGTGATGAATGATATCAGACAAGTTCAAGTCTTCAAACCGAAAGAACCAAAACAAATCAACTTCCACAATGTTCAAATCCGTAAGTTTGTGGTATGAATTTTGATTCTTGTTTTCTAAAAGTGTTTTTTTTTAATCCGCAGGCTGTTGTTATCTTCGCCATCGTTGCCTGTGTTGCCGCCAAGCCAGGACTTCTGGGTGCTCCTCTGGCCTACACTTCTCCACTGGCTTACACTGCTCCTCTGGCCTACTCTGCACCTGTGGTGGCTGCTCCTGCTCCAGTTGTGACCGCCACCAGTAGCCAGGTGATCGCCAGGAACTACAATGGAATCGCCGCTGCTCCAGTGATTGCTCCCGTGGCTGCTCCCGTGGTTGCCAAATACGCAGCTGCTCCTCTGGCGGCTCCTTTGGCATACTCCTCCCCCTTGGCTTACTCCGCGCCTTTGAGCTACGCCGCTGTTCCCGCACCACTCCTCATCTAAATTAAAAATTTTTGATCACTTAGAACAATTAAAAAAAACCATAACTGAATTTATTGCCTTTTAACTTTATCTATACTTTATCATACTTATAGAGTTATTTATTCATATATATTCTCGATCAGAATAATCACACGAATTAATATATAATATATTTGCTTGCCTGCTGCCCGACTATCCGCATGACATTTCGGATGTATACCATAAGATGTAGACTCGAACATAACGTTTTACATATTAACTTATTAAATATTACATTTTTTTAAGGAAAACCATTTAAGTTTTATTTAAATTACTTACTCGAAGAATAGAAAGCTTATATTTATTCTACCCCGTTCAAATCTTTCTTTTATTGGGATTTCTTTTTCAAATAAAAAAATTGTCCTTATAATTCAAGATGGTTACAAAGTCAAACTAAAAGTGTAAATTATGATCAACAAAAAAATACAATTAATAAAAAAGAACCAAAGTTTTGATTACTGATATTAACAGCTATACAATTAAGGTTGTTCTTTGTGACTTTTGACCAATTGTAAATTCTTTTGATCAAGATTTAAAACAACGCTTTTTCGGCTTACCCTTGATATAATTTGGTTTAGGTTTCAATAATTTTTTTGGTTTTAGATTGCTTAGATTGTAACTTGCTTTAGATAGCGGGAATTACAAGTGAAAAACTACAATTTGTTTAGGGGGTTCTATTCTTTTCAAAAGTTTAAACAACCCATTTGCTCCTTGAATTGCTGCAAAAGTTATATAGAAACCTCGATAACTTGAACAAAGATAATAGGTAATCTAACTAATAAATCTTTAATTGCGATAAAATAAAGTACATATATCCACATTTTAAAGGGCTTTAAATTATCGATTTATTCTCCCTATTGATTCTTTTATATAATTATAATTATAAGTATAATTATTTGAGTGTCGCAAATATATCTTTAACAGCTTTACAAGCCCTTTAACAAAAATTATAACCATATTTTTAAGATCAATGAAGAGCCATAAAATTATACTTAAATTCCCATGATTTTGTTTATTTTTCTAAGTGATCACAGCTTAGCAGTTTAGATAAGGAGAGGTGCAGGAGCAGCGGGGTAGCTCAAAGGGGCGGAGTAGGCCAGGGGGGAGGTGTACGCCAGAGGGGAGGAGTAGGCCAAAGGAGCCGCCAGAGGAGCAGCCGCGTACTTGGCAACCACGGGAGCAGCCACAGGAGCAATCACTGGCGCAGCTGCGATTCCATTGTAGTTCCTGGCGATCACCTGGCTACTGGTGGCAGTCACAACTGGAGCAGGAGCAGCCACCACAGGTGCAGAGTATGCCAGAGGAGCAGTGTAGGCCAAGGAGGAGGAGTAAGCCAGTGGAGAAGTGTAGGCCAGAGGAGCACCCAGAAGTCCTGGCTTGGCAGCAGCACAGGCAACAAGAGCGAGGACAACGACAGCCTGCGAATAAAGAAGTTCAATAAATGTTATCCTCTACAGTTCCTTTCCGGAAGGACCTACGTATTTGAACATGATGTCTTTATTTCTTTGATTGCTTCTTTGGAAGTCTCGAAATTATTTGATAACCCACTACCGTTATACGATCTTATTTATACCCAAAAACAGTAATCAGCTGTGACGTATTCAGTTCATTTAAATGCTGCGACAGTTTCCCGTTACAATTTGCACTTTACCGCAGTTTAGGTGATTTCCCACTGCTGAAAGGGGAATACGTAAACATTGGTTGGAATTTGTTTGCCTGAGGTCACCGTCGCAGTCTTGTCTTGCTCTGGTGTATAAATAGCCACATGAAAAATTGAATGATATCAAACAAGTTCAAGTCCTTAGAACGACAGCACTAAAACAAATCAACCATCACAATGTTCAAATCCGTGAGTTTTTGGTCTTGGGTTTTAGTCCAGTTTTCTAAATATGTTTTTATCCGCAGGCCGTTGTTGTCCTCGCTATCGTTGCCTGTGCTGCTGCCAAGCCAGGACTTCTGGGTGCTCCATTGGCCTACTCCTCTCCCCTGGCATACACCGCTCCTTTGGCCTACTCTGCACCCGTGGTGGCTGCTCCTGCTCCAGTTGTGACCGCCACCAGTAGCCAGGTGATCGCCAGGAACTACAATGGAATCGCCGCTGCTCCAGTGATTGCTCCCGTGGCTGCTCCTTTGGTTGCCAAGTACGCAGCTGCTCCTCTGGCGGCTCCTTTGGCCTACTCCTCCCCTCTGGCGTACACCTCCCCCTTGGCTTACTCCGCTCCTTTGAGCTATGCCGCTGCTCCTGCACCTCTCCTTATCTAAGTTAATAAGCTGTGATCACCTAGAAAAATAAACGATAAAACAGAAGCATAATACAAATTTTTTGTCCATAACTGATCTTTTATACCATTTGATAGCAGTGTTATAATATTGGTTAGAGGGATGTAGTGCTGTAAAGGATACATATGTGTATATACAGTGAATTGAATACATTTATTTCCAAAATCAACAAAATTAAGACAGTTTGGCTAGAGTGTATCAATAAATCATTCCCCAAAAAACATAAGCGTGTATTGGGCTTCATCACCTTGTGAAATCAATCAAGCCTCATTAAAGTTGTTTTTTTGCTTAGATTAATTTATCTATGATCCAGTTATCGAAGCTTATAAGTATATAACATTTCTAGCATTCGAAATCGACTAAAATTAACATATAACAAACTACATATATTCAATTACAAACTTAAAAAATTAAATAAATTTCGAAAGGTAACAATAAAGAAAAATATTTTAGTTTGTATATTTTTTGTTGATCGTAAATTAGCTTTTTTCGCCCGGCCGTTCCTATTTGAGAGCAATAGGACTTATATAAAAACACAAAAATTAATACCAAATAATTATTAAATTAAGAATGTTAAACCTTTAAGGCTTGAGTGATTTTTCCATTAGAGTATTAAGTGTATATAACTAATATTTACAAAACCAAATAAAGTATTCCCAAGACCCGTACTCAAACATTTCACTGATGAATCATAGAAAGGTCTAAATATGGGAGGAAACGATTTTTTTGACCTGTAAATTGAACTTTTTTAGTGAACCAATAAGTAATTCCATGAAAAATCTTAATAATAATCAAGAATAAATTAGCTTGTAAAAAGAATAATAAAAGGCCAAAAGCTTTTGTTTTTGATTTATATTTCTTGCACTAGGTAATCACAGTTTACTAATTTAGATGAGGAGAGGTGCGGGAGCAGCGGCGTAGCTCAAAGGAGCGGAGTAAGCCAAGGGGGAGGTGTACGCCAGAGGGGACGAGAAGGCCAAAGGAGCCGCCAGAGGAGCAGCGGCGTACTTGGCAACCAAAGGAGCAGCCACTGGAGCAATCACTGGAGCAGCGATTCCATTGTAGTTCCTAGCGATCACCTGGCTGCTGGTTGCGGTCACAACTGGAGCAGGAGCAGCCACCACAGGTGCAGAGTATGCCAGAGGAGCAGTGTATGCCAGGGGAGAGGAGTAGGCCAATGGAGAAGTGTAGGCCAGAGGAGCACCCAGAAGTCCTGGCTTGGCGGCGACACAGGCAACGATGGCGAAGATGACAACAGCCTGCGGATTGAAAGACTTTTAGAAAACTGGACTAAAACCCAAGACCACAAACTTACGGATTTGAACATTGTGATGTTTGATTTGTTTTGGTGCTTTCGGCTTAAAGACTTGAACTTGTCTGATATCACTCAGCACTTTCCTTGCCGCTATTTATACACCCAAATCGTCTTCGTCTGTGACCTCAGGCCTTCGAATCCACTGCATACCAACATTTATTCGACATTCAGTAGTGGGAAATAACATAAAGTATGGTAAAGTGCAAATGGTAACGGAAGACTGTCGCAGCATTTAAATGAACTCAATACGCACGATCATGAGTCAGACTTGAATACAACTTTTGGGTATAAATATGCTCGACCAAGAGTAGTTGGACATCAAATCATTTCTAGCCTTCCCAAGAAGCAAACAAAGAATTATAGCCACCATGTTCAAATACGTAAGTCCTTCCAGGAAGGAACTGTGGAGTATTTTGTTAACAGAACCTCTTTATTCGCAGGCCGTCGTTGTCCTCGCTCTCATTGCCTGTGCTGCTGCCAAGCCAGGACTTCTGGGTGCTCCTTTGGCCTACACATCTCCACTGGCTTACACTGCTCCTCTGGCATACTCTGCTCCCGTTGTTGCTGCTCCTGATCCAGTTGTGACTGCAACCAGCATCCAGGTGATCGCCAGGAACTACAATGGAATCGCCGCTGCTCCATTGATTGCTCCAGTGGCTGCTCCCGTGGTTGCCAAATACACAGCTGCTCCTTTGGCCTACTCCTCCCCTCTGGCGTTCTCCGCCCCCTTAGCTTACACAGCACCCCTCGCTTACAATGGTCTCCCAGCTGCACCTGTTCTTGTTTAAGTACTATTAAATAAATCAAAACAAATTTGCAGTTCCTATAACTTTAAATATTTGCATTATTTACTATAGTAGTCAGAATGGGACAATATATATTAAAAAAAAATTGGTTGATTTTAACATAAAATATTATGACGGAAACATCATATGAAAATAAATTATATGCTATGCATGCTATTTTGGTGTGAGGGATGGTTTCTATGTCAGCTATGAAATATATTTTTATGTCATTCTCTTAAAATGTAAATTACAATATCTTGAAATATTAGCAGATATATTCAAAAGCAAAGAAATTATGGAAACGCTCAAATTTAATTTCGTTTTAATAATACTGAAATTTATTGTTCACTTTCATCGTACATAGGCTACTGGTAATCAAAGCGCGTTTAGGGAATTTATACTTTGACATCAATTAATTAAAGGGCTGTTAGCTTTAGATTTTTTTGGTAAGCAAAGAAGGTAAGCTTTTAACTTTAATGCCGAACTCAATATTGTTAAGAAGACCCCTGATGATATGTAACCATCGATTCTCAATACAAAGGTTTAATCCTTATATTATTTAAACTTTATCATAGGAGGAGGACAGCAGAGGTTCAGAAGGCTCTCATCTAATTTTATCTAAAGCCAAGTGCCTTCTCCAAAAAAAGAATGTCAACTGACAGTTGGCCCATCAGGTACACAAACAAGGTGATTGGCACTTCCTCGAGTACAAAATCGAGGGTTCCTGTCGGTCACAGGTCACTCTTTGACCTTGACATAATTGCCATTCTCTGTACCCAAAGCCGAAAAATAGAATAGCCCTCGAATACAAATCAATTTCGCACAATTTAATGTAACAAACATTGGACGGCAGCTGCTGCCGCTGAGCTGACAATAATTTTTATGGCCATTACGTGACCGGCATTTGAAAACTTTCGAATGTCCCACCAGCAGACTGTGGGTATTGGCGGTCTTAGTATGCCATCGGTAAATCCAATTAGCAGGAGACGAAAAAAAGAGGAGCAACTCGAATTTGGTTTGATTTTTATATTACTTTTAAAGCTTCTTAGACAAGAACTGGAGCAGCTGGCAGGGCACTGTAGGCCAAAGGTGAGGAGTAGGCCAGGGGAGATGAGTACGCCAGTGGGGAGGAGTAGGTCAAAGGAGCCGCCAGAGGAGCAGCTGCGTACTTGGCAACCACGGGAGCAGCCACGGGAGCAATCACTGGAGCAGCTGCGATTCCATTGAAGTTCCTGGCGATCACCTGGCTGCTGGTGGCAGTCACAACTGGAGCAGAGTATGCCAGAGGAGCAGTGTAGGCCAGTGGAGAAGTGTAGGCCAAAGGAGCACCCAGAAGTCCTGGCTTGGCAGCAGCACAGGCAACGAGAGCGAGGACAACAACGGCCTGCGAATAACGAGGTTTGATTAATAAAATATTCTACAGTTCCTTCCTGGAAGGACTTACGTATTTGAACATGGTGGCTATTTCTTTGTTTGCTTCTTGGGAAGGCTAGAAATGATTTGATGTCCAACTACTTTTGGTCGAGCATATTTATACCCAAAAGTTGTATTCAAGTCTGACTCATGATCGTGCGTATTCAGTTCATTTAAATGCTGCGACAGTCTCCCGTTACCATTTGCACTTTACCATACTTTATGTTATTTCCCACTACTGAATGTCGAATAAATATTGGTATGCAGTGGATTCGAAGGCCTAAGGTCACAGACGAAGACGATTTGGGTGTATAAATAGCGGAAAGGAAAGTGTTAAGTGATATCAGACAAGTTCAAGTCTTCAAACCGAAAGCACCAAAACAAATCACAATGTTCAAATCCGTAAGTTTGTGTTCTGAATTTTGTTTTTGGTTTCCTAAATGTGTTTTTATCTGCAGGCTGTTGTCATCTTCGCCATCGTTGCCTGTGTTGCCGCCAAGCCAGGACTTCTGGGAGCTCCTCTGGCCTACTCTTCTCCCCTGGCATATACCGCTCCTTTGGCCTACTCTGCACCTGTGGTGGCTGCTCCTTCTCCAGTTGTGACCGCCACCAGTAGCCAGGTGATCGCCAGGAACTACAATGGAATCGCGGCTGCTCCAGTGATTGCTCCCGTGGCTGCTCCCGTGGTTGCCAAGTACGCAGCTGCACCTCTGACGGCTCCTTTGGCCTACTCCTCCCCTCTGGCGTACACCTCCCCCTTGGCCTACTCCGCCCCTTTGAGCTACGCCGCTGCTCCCGCACCACTGCTCATCTAAATTTAAAAACTGTGATTACTTAGGACAATGAAGAAAAACTTGACTCAATAAATGACTTGAAAATAATTTAAATTACCGAAAAATTATTTTTCTTGTAAACTTAGCTGACGTACATTGTATATACTGCACTGCAGACAAGATTGTTTCACACTTTTACTCTACAGTGTTTCTCTTAAGGTCATTCATTCCATAAACCACTACTTAATACCAATTGAACTGAAAAAATCACGAAATTTTTAGAAATCTTGCACATAGCAAAAATATTTATACATGCATTTAATAGTTCCAATAATATCTAAAATAATTCTAACCGACTTTGGAATTTGATAAAACAAGTATACATTTATTACATATTTTTTTGTCTGCTTAAAGTTTTAATAGGCAATCAGAAACTGATATTGTCATGATTTTTTTCTGCGTGTCGCGCCGTAATCCCTTTTTTGGGCCCGTGGTTATTTGTTAGTTTTGCCTTTCCGCTTATCTAAAACGCTTTCATGGCGCATTTCATGCATTGATGCACAACGTAAATAGCCATTTTTGCTTTCGCGCGTTTAGATATAAAATGGCATTTCCTTGCCAGCTGCCAGAAGCCAAAGAAAGAGCCGAAAAATCCCCGGCATACGTTATCGCCTGCCACAGGGTTGAAAATCCCCCACATCCTCAAGGATTTGCGCGTTGGCGCCTCCTTTTCTTTTTTCCCCAGCAAATTTCCTTTTCATGCGTTGCCTTTAAATTGATTAGTTACAACTTGTGATTACAAAAACCCAAAAATTCCGAAAAGAAGCAAACTCGTTGCATAATTAAGTTTACTTGCCAGGTGAAAGTCACGCCCAAAACCAAAAAATCTGCAACTGCAGTTAACAACAAAATAGTTTTAAAAAAAGTGTAAAAAAAAATTTTGTATAAACGCGACTTTTGCATTCTCTTGTCTAAATAATTAAAAGTTCGCCCTTGCCCAGCGTCCACACCCCTTTTTTTGTCGGTTGCGTTTTTGTTTGCCATTTTGTAATTGCTGTTAATGGCAAAAACAAGCAAAATGGTACACAACCTCGACTGTGGAAATCCGGGAAAAATCTCCCAACTCTACACGAATTTTGCATTAAAAAGACCGCGCATGTAAAAACGGGGCGTTAAAAAATAAGTCTTTCTGCTGGAATCGAATAATGTTGTACCCTCTTATTTTAGTAATTTTAATTATATCATGAACAACATTTAAAATAACTTTTCCTGGGATATATTTTTATTTCGTATCTTGAAAGAAAATAAATGTGAAGAATTTCCTTGATGTATATTAACCTTAGAAATAACAAGTGTACTTACCATGTTATTAACGATTTGATGGTTGATACATTTTGTTGTAAATGTTTTGTATATAAAAGTGTCGCAAACGATTTCGATTTTTTTCTCTAAATTAAATAATACTTTTAGTAAAAATGTAAGAAATCTTTAAATCTTTTTCGAATGGAAAGTATCCCTCGGGAGGGTATTTAAAATGTAGCAGACAGGAGCCAAGATGAAGTTACTGCGACAGAACAGCAACCAGATTCAAAAATTTGTTGCCTGCATCCAAGAGGACCAGACAGAGCCTAGTTACCAAACTTTATGACTTGTTTATGCTCGTCCCTGCTCCCTTCTGCTATTTGTTTGTCGGTAGATGTTTCTGCTGGCTGTTAATTTTGTTTGCCGACAAGGCGCAAAATGGTTGAATAATGGCCAGGCGACATTTCGCTTAATGTTTGACTTGGCTGCAATACAAAATCTGATGCAGGATGCGATGAGAAACGAGTACAAGAGACTGCAAATGTTTGCTAAGATTATTTTCTTGTTTCTCCTTTATTTTGATTATGCAAAAGGATTACCAGGGCTAACAATGTGTGAGGAATGTGTTAAGATATTAAAATATTGCGACTTTGCTTATTCATTATTATTTTGTTCCTACTTAGATTCAATGTGAACGCAAGCTTACTTCGTCAAATCAAAGATTTAATACTCTACCACTCATTTTATGGGCAGTGCGTTGTATTTTGGCTCAGTTAGAAAAAATAACTTTTAAATGGCCTATTTTGTGGCCAAAAGCTTTGAAAAATAAACTATACCGTTTTTCGATGAAAATTCTAGGAAATAACCGTCAAATGTTTGAATGTTATACCTCGTTGAATTCGTTATAAAATTTTTAATCAATTGGCGTTCACAGCTAAAAAAAATTAATTTTTGTGAGTTTTCACAAATAATAATGAGGTTACCCCTTATGAAAAAAGCACAGATAATTTTACCAAATCAAACTAGAATTGATTGTATACGTTCTCAGCTGCACAAAAGAGTCATTCTTTTGGATATCCGTCTTTCTTTGGCAAAGTTGCAACAAAAACCCCTTAAAAATGTGTTTTTAAAAATATATTTCAGCTCAATTTTCGGTTTTTTGATCAAAGCCATTGGAAATAATGGTCAGATCTTGGAATGTCATACCTCGTTGAATTCGTTATAAAATTTCCAATCCATTGGTATACTCAGCTAAAAAATTTTATTTTTGACCGATTTTGGAAAAAAATCATAGGGGTAACACTTATAAAAAAGGCGAAAATCGACAAAAAAAAAAATTTTACCAAATCAACCTGGATTTGATTGTATAGGTTCCTAATTGCACAAAGCAGTCGTTCTGTTGGCTGTTCATCGTATTTTTGATAAGTTAGAACAAAAAAGACGTTTTAAAAGGTTAAAATTCAGAAAAAATTAGCTCTAGTTTTAATTTGTTATTAAAAGGGAAATAAAAGTCAATAGTCAAATACTTTATATGCTTTATGTATAAAATATACAAAAAAATATTTGCGTGTACTGAAAAATATATTCAGTGCTTACAACTCCCCTCCAAAAAATTCTTTCCAAACTCCTCTGAGACTTGGCTAATGATCCAGGACCCGAGCCTATCTTTTTGGCCTCGAAATCAGGAGAAAGCCTTCCCTCCTTTCGCCTATCTATATGGCTAATTAGGCTAAACAAATTATGGAATATGATTAATAGAGAGCACGGCCTGGCAATTAACTTTTTGCGATAAATAAAACGGAATATATTTGTAAGTATGAATTAATGTACGCCAGAATTGTAGGCAGATTTATTGACCCAGCCCACGAAGCAAACGCCGTTGGCCAATTTTCAAGAAGGGATTTGTCCTGCCATTTAACAATTCACGTAGTGACATTTGCATTTTTGATTGCCTCAATATTTCTTGCACTGCTTTTGTTTTTTGCTTATGGCCATCGCACCGTTGTAGGTGTTCCAACCCCTCAAATATTCAGCCAAATAAAAAAGTTTTAGCCCAAGAAACGTGTCGTGTAAATTAAAAAGGTTTTGGTTTTAGTGGGGAGTTTTCGGTTTAAAAAATGATACGCCAAAGGTCAGCGAGGCTTTAAAATTTTCCCAGCCAAGTTTTATGCAAATCATTTATATACTTTTTTTTTGTGTTGGGCGTGACAAGGTCTAATTATGCCGGATTTTGGGCTGCTCATCTGTTTTTATTTTATATAGAGTCAATGTCATTTACTTAATTGGTCTGCGGTTCATTCACGCCAGTAGGGAAAATATTTCAATCAAAAGGATTCCTTTTTTTCAGCGGGGATTAAATGCTAAGCAAAAGTTCAAGCGACCCAACACAAAGAGCCGATGTATTATATTTTCAGGCAATTGTTTACGGGGTCTTCGCTTTCTTAGTTTTGGGAAATGGAGAAACATCAATTTTCGGTGGGGAGACACGTGCTTAAGTAGCGGGAAAAATGAGAATATAAGAAAAGGAAAAGGCGAATCCCCAGCGGCGTGGTTTTCCACTCACACACACTCCTTCGCAGGATTCAGGACTTCAGGAGACCCGAGAAGTGACGTGTTTGGCGCTGCACCAGCACTTAACCTTGGCTGTACACCGAGGACACGGCACTCGAGTTATGAATTAAATCCTGCCACGAATCCTGTCCGCAGAGATAGCTGCCACATAAAAGGAACTTCGTATCTCTTTGCAAACTTTAACCCAAAAGCCTGGCAGGACGAAGTTGGCCCTCTTGCGTGGGAGAGAAAGCTTTGTCCTCTGACTTCCATTCAGCTGCTCTCTTTGTCGAGAGCTTTCTGGCCAAAGGGACATTTAAGAGGCCTTCTGGTAAAACCAATTTAAAGAGAAAGTATTTGTGTGCGGAGAAAAATGTTTGTTGGGTTATTATTATCTCCTAAAGGAAGATGCTGAAAATGTTTCATTTTTCAATTTTTGCTCTATAATAAATTTTAAATGTTCTAAGCTGTAAATTAAACCGTCTGATATTTGGTCTTATTTAAATTATGTAAACATATATTATATTGCATATTATATATGTAATAAAACAAACATACTATTTGACCCATAATATTGTATCTGCCACGATAAGGATGAGAGTATTATTTTCCCCAAGGTTAAACCCAATTCAGATAATTCAAACAACGAAGTTTTGAAAGTTAAATAAACTGAAATACGAGCATAGAATCAGATTTAAATACGATACGAGTAATTATGAAATAAATGTTATTATTTAGTCGCAATAAAGTATGAAAGTTTCAAGCCTTTCTATTTCAAAATTTCATATCAGATTAAATTTTAAATAGGTTCATTTTTGATAACCTTGATTTCGGCCTTTCGATGATTGGCCGTTATCAGATATAGTTTCTCCAGCATTTTATCCGCCTGAGCCGTGTCCATGGCGAAGACGTGGATCATTCCCGTCTCATGAACCCGAGCTGCCACGCCGGGCAGTCCCTTGTCCACGTAGTAGACGTAGTGCATCTCCTTGATGAGGGGTTCCGAGCATAGGGCATAGGCCTCGCTAAATTCGGTCAGAGCAATTCGCCAGGGATAGTAGGCACAGGATATGAGTCGCAAATGTAATAGCTGATGTGAAGGATCCGCCTTGAAATTAACCTGCAACATGAGCTTGGTCATCAGTTCCCTTTGGGTTTCGGCCAGCATTGCCTGGCTTCTTCCGTTGATAATCATCACAGTGCCATTGGCCCAAACCCAGGCTATCTGCGTGGCCTCAAATCGCTTTTGGATAACATCTATATCGCTGTTGTAAACAGCATTATTAAGGCTATTTACGGCCATTTTTAAATTCAAATTTCTGTTTATTTGCAGAGTGCAAAACATTTTGCAGAACTTCATCTCGATGCGCAGGCGCAGGTCCTCGACTTTACGTTTGGCCGGTCGACGTAGGATCCTGATCTTCTGGAGGCACTGATCCAGATGAACTGGCAAAGGTGGAAGCACCAACGATCTCCTCAGATTCTCCGCCGACTTTAGGCCAAATTGCTGGTTCCACTTGGAACGGAGTCTTTTGGCTTGGGGATCCCTAAATTCCGTCATACTTTGATCAATAATATCCTCAAAGTCTTCGAGTCGAACTTTGTAGCTATTCTGCCAGCCAGAATCCGTTGAAGATGATATGTTGGACTTTCCTGGAATTCGCGGCTTCATCTGCTCCTTGCTTATCTCGTTTTCGAAATCGATTCCTTCGGGTTCTTTAGGGTTGCTAACACTATCCTCATAGATGAGCAGTTGCAGTTGCTGGGAAATGGTGTTACTACACTGCTGTAGCCAATCCTGAATGGCTGACTCCTCTTGAGGTTTCGGAGGTACTGGTTTGATATCTTTAACCTCAAGAATAATGGGTCGCTCTGGTCTAAGTTCTTTCATTTGCGCTTTCTGAACTGGTTTTTCCATTTCTGGAAGGGTTTCTGGCAAAACTACTGATTTAGTCGTTTCATCTTTTTTTCTTAACTGTGGCTCTGCTATAACCATTTTACGGGGCAGAACTTCAGTCAAAGGTAACTTCTTTCTAACTTCCTTTACTTCCGTGCTAACAAGACTCTTGGGCTTTAATAACGCAAACAGGATACTCCGTTTTTCGGGATCTCTAGCCAAGTTCAAAAGCATATCAAACTCTTCTATATCACTTTGAGGTTCGTTGAGCAGCTCCGTTTTGATCCAATCCTTCATGGCTCGCTCTTCTTCAACGCTAATATTCATGTGATCAAAGGCTGTATCTTCAACGTGAAAATTTCGATGCTGCGTATCATTCAACAATTTCCTGTTTGTTTCCCAATTCAAAAGCACCTCAGAAGGAGTCTTATTTTCAGGATCAACTATTTTTGAGAGAGACTTCCGGGACTTTGGAGGTTCCATAATTTTTTGAGGAGTCTTGGATTTTTTCTGATCTTCCAAACAACACAAAGGCCACTCTACTTCTGAGGGCTTTACCAAACCCTTCTTCAAGTCACTGTAACTCTTCCAAATATCCTCTGAGGAAGGCAGATCGATATTCACCTCTTCCACGAACTTTGTTTTAATGGGGGATATGGGTCGAAAAGAGTGTTCCATTAACCACTTTGGATCTATTGCTGGTGGATCGTTTTCGTAGGCAGGTTTTGGCGGCATACCGCGCACTTTGGGCAGCTGTTTCACCTTGTACTTGGTGGGCAATCGTCGGGTCTTGACTATCCTTGATGAACTTGGTGGGGGCATTGGGTCCACATCGGCGATCACGTGCATGGGTTCGGAGTTCTCCTCGAGGCCAAAGTCCAGAACCACATCACCAATGCAAAACTTAGTGGGCAACGGTTTTAGAAGTGGGGCACCAAAATGGCTATTTAAATTGTTAGTTATTAACATAGTTTACTATTTAACGGCTTACCGTGACATTTGTGGTGGAACGGGAGTATCTGGCCTTGATGTTTGGCCTTGATTTCTTGTTTTTTGTATAGGCTTAAAGCGGCTATATATAAATAGAAATCATATATAAGCATTTGAACATTCATATCTTATAAGAAAAACCCACCTGGGCAAAGACATGTTTGAAATATTTGCTGGGGTGTTTCTTCCTGTCTGGTTAAAAAGGGGGGGAATCTCTTTGTCCTTTTTCGTCTTTTCGTTTTTTTCTTTCAATAGCTTCATGTTGTCCTTGCTACTTAAATGCTCTTTCTTCGCGCTTCCTGGATTCTTCTGTTTCTCAGTGTCCTCCGACTCAAGCTGCTTGAGGGTTTCGTCGCTGAACAAATGCTTGATGAACTCTTCGTCCTCTTCTGAATCAGAATCGGATAAATTCTCGAAAACGGGCGTAAACCTTCCCCAATTCGGCGGAGGTGCACCTTTAATTTTCGATGGACGTGGCATTTTGCGAGAATATATATTGTACTAAATTGTCAGACGTCAAACCTTATGTGACCTTATGTGTTCAACAACCCTACCAGAGTTGCCGCTTGTGCTATTGGGTTTTAAATTTAAAACAATAATCTTTTTGATAAATTAGTACATTCCATTTTTTTTATTTAACTTTCGTGTTTGCCTTCATCGCAAAATATTGGTATATATTAAATATTGAAACTAAGAAATGAACTAATCATTAAAAGTCTTCTTATTACATTACTAGCAGTACTTTACCCTCCGTTTTTCACTTTAAATTGTTGTGGCATGTTCTTATGCCGCAGAAATGTTTCCCCAGAAATATACGAAAACAAAATGCATTGCCTACTTTTGGGGATAGACTCCTGCACAAACGGTTTCATAGCAGCCAGCTTCTGAAGGCCAGTTGCATTTGTCGGGCTGCAAAAGTAATGCATACTTTTAGTTGCTGATTGTGGTTCCATACAAAAATTAAAAACTTTTCGGGTATCTCACTCCCACCAGGAAAAACTCCACATGGCTTTTGATTTGGCCACTCTTTCTTTTACCGTTTGTCTTCTTTTACCGTTTGTATGTACACACACACACACACAGCCTCACACGCAGTAAATTGGAGAAACAGTCAGGTAGTTAAAACTTTTAAATTGAGGGCGGGGATCATTTGTGATTTCTGCCGTCTGGGCACTGCAAATAAAAAGCCAGAAGCGGGAAAGCTGGGAAAGCTGGAAAACCTGCAAAGTTACAGTCACGGCAGAAGCGCTCTGTCACTGCTCATTTGTTGCTAATAATTATAAAAGTTTTACTCAATCCCCTCGAGTGACATAAGTACCACAAAAAATATATAGAAAAAAACTTGCCAGACTATCTGTCTGTGGGTTGATAGAAAAAGGACACAAAACTTTTCACAATTGTTTAGTTTACAGGATATGCTCGACAATATTTGCGAAAGTCCTTTTCAGCGCTAGCATTTAGCTCAGATTTCGCAGGAAATAGTTTTACAGTCAGGGCTCGGCCTAAAAGCATGCAGTATTAAATTTTTATTTGCTTACTTCATAACAATAGTTTTGGATGGGGGGCGAATAATAGTATGGGGTGTTCCACATCCCCCTTTTGTATAAGTCATTTAGTTTTGGGGACTTGGAGCATAGCCAGAATTCTGGATAGCAAACAAGTCGAACAAAGCAAGCGCCAAATTGCCTTAAAAGCCTTTTCAAGTCAAAAGTTTTGCCTGTTTGCGCATAATTATTTAGCCATGACATAAGTAAAAAATCCAAAAAAAACTATACAGTATTAAGTAGACTGATAAAAACAAATCATGAGTTATCTTAATTTAAAAAAAGGCTTAAGTCGCTCATGAATTTGATTTTAAGTGCATTAATAATGAAGTCAAACAAAAACCTTGTAAACATATTAACTATTAGAATATAATAAGGTAAAAGACCTTTACTTAAAATTGGTGAATTACAGGTTTTAAAGTTTATCTACCTCTTCTTATATGATTTCATTAAACAAATTTTAAAGTCATTTACAATATTGTTGTTACTAAATAAAATCGTATTTTAAAAGGTAGATGGAGCTATTTGCTCTTCGCGTTTTCGATTCGACGGACCAGGCTCCTCATCTTGGTTTAAATCCGGCAGATTTCCATCTTCATCCCCGAACATAAGTCGCTCAAGCAGTTCCATTTGCGTTTGAAGAATTGCGGCCAAAGTAAAGGTCCTCTCGATACGTTCTCTGTATCTCAATTGAAGAATATCCTCATCAATCGGGTTATTATGCATCGCTGTTGGGTCCTTATGCCTCTTCTCATTGTTAATCTCGTCTTTATCCAGTTTTCGCTGAATATTCTCAGCCACCGTGCCACTATACGGATTATACCCCTTTTTGAGGCCAGTCACTTTAAGTACAAAATTGATATAGTCGGCATACTCCACGCGAAGGAATTCGAGAAACGATATGCAGCGCTTCTCTGTGTGATCCCTTTCCACTTTGGCACTCGTCAGTTGAGCCCTCAACATGGATATTATCAAATTGATTAGCAGAAACTTGACCACAAAGCCCATCATGGCATATAGTATGAGGCCCAGCCACATGCCACCATAAAAGAGATCTGGAGGATTCACTTGACGAGCATAGCCGAAGGTAAAACACATGAGTGTAACAATGGCAGAGTCCAAATCACTGAAATGGATTGTGTGATTGCCATTGATTGTGACAGCTGCAATGCCAAGGGCGACAATAAATATTATGGTTATTAGGACCGTGAAAAAGAGTGCCCTCCAGGCCAGGGCCAGGGTTTCGGTGAAAAGTTGAAAAGTGCCGGCAAACTGCATTACTTTCCAAAGCCGCATGGTGACCAGCGCCACGGCGAATCCCTTGAGAACATCTGCAAAGTAGTTGAGTCGCGCCGGTTCACGGAAATCGATAAAATCCACCATCACCGAGATTTCCACCTTGTGTATCATCGATTGAACCAAGCTACCCCGGATAAATAAGAGCGCCGCAATCAGTATACTGAGCAACACGATCAAGGCATCCAACATGACCCACAAGGTCTTCAGCGAGTGCGGATCGTACCATACCTTCACAAAGAACGCCCTGGCAAACTGCGTGCAGATGATGAAGGATATGAATATCATCAGCATTCCGATGATCGAAAAGTGTCCAATTTGATCGATGAAAACGTTGCTTTCGACTTGAACGTGCGTGTCGATGCCGCCGAAGGGAAATTGCTCCACCCACAGTGTGCACACGCTAAAGGTGTTTGCGTCCGCATTGTACAAAGAAAAGTCCATGAATAGAGCACTCGTATTCGAATCAAGCCATTTCTTATCGATTAGATAGTCGAGGATTTTAAAACTTTTGAAACGCGTGTCCGAGAGCAGATTTATGTAGCCCTTCGTTTCCGGATAAGAGAGATGTTGGCCATGATGAACGATACCTAAAATTAAGTTGTCCCGGATACCGTAGTCGGTCGACACCCAGGGCTTGTAAATCGTCCAGAATTTATTCGTATACGGTTGGCGTTCATATGGCAATTTCCAGCCCTCCATGTAATCCCTTTCCGTGAAAACAGGGTCATGCAGACCCATGCGGTTGTTCTCCGTCCTCAGCTGCCTCAATCGCACCACGCCCAACAATCTGTTGCACTCCGAATAAATCCAAGGAGCTCCGCCAATCGTATTGTTCTCACTCGTAAAGGCCCGAATCAGGGAGAACTCTATGAATTCATATACTTTCAGCAGCTCAGTCAAACTTGATAGTCCGCGCGTAAATTTATGATTGTACTCGAAGAGATGCTGTATGGTTTTGGTGTTGAAGTAGAGAAAGTCATCGAACAAGACCAAAACCATGCCGAGAAATACCAGAAAAACCTTGGCCGTTAGATAAAGTTCCTCGGTTATCACGCGGTACTTCAGGTTGACCTCCTCATTTCGATGGCTTTCCGTGATGATCAGCTCACTCCGCAATGTCCGAAGTTTAATCCTTAATTTGTCCATAAAGGACTCCACGTTGGCGTTTTCATCGGGCCCCACTGGAGGTTGTTGAAGAGGCCACCAGGCGGCATCCAGAGACATTATCACGAACTTGAGGGGCGTAAAAATAATTATCCGAATAAAAGTGACCGCCAAAAATGAAACCAGGATCATATTGAACTTGCCGTCCTCATGATTGAAGCCCGAGAATTTCCAGAGGCAAATTCCACATACGGTTATTATAACCAATGTTAGATAGATTATCATGTTACTACTCTTCTTCGCCATTTTTAGAGGATTTTGTCAAGCTTTTATTTTTCCTTTCAATTTTATTGTCAGTTATTTTAAGAAAGTAATTTCTTGACAGCACAAAATGGGGCTCCTTGTAGACAGCTTTTTTGTCGAAAAGATATTTTTATCAATTACTAATATTCTTTCTCTTATTGCTTCTTTCCTACCAATAATAGAAAAATATACTCAGTCAAAATCTGGCAAGTAAACCTATGTTTTTTTGGGCGGATCAATTGCTTTATATATATCCTTTTCATAATTATTAAAAAAAATATATAATAATATAATATAATAATTAAACCAACAAATGCAAAATTCTTCAAAGTACAAATCGACTCTTATCCTATCGTTAAATTATAATTCAAGAAAAATGAAATTTTAAGTACTTTCCCTTTTAAAACACCTTTCACAATTTCAAAGTTCCCAAAAATTGTAAAACCCCTTTTATATTTATACTTAAAGAACTGCTTATAAAGTAACAACCTTGTCTTAATTAAAAAAATTCTTTATTTTCAAAGGTAGATGTAGTTTTTTTCGCTTATGGATTTTGACTCGACGGACCAGGCTCCTCATCTTGTTTTTCGTCCGGCAGATTTCCCTCTTCATCCCCGAACATAAGCCGCTCAATCAGTTCCATTTGCGTTTGGAGAATTGCGGCCAAAGTGAAGGTCCGCTCGATACGCTCTCTGTATCTCAATTGAAGAATATCCGCATTATTAGGGTTATTATGCATCGATCTTAGTTCCTCTTTCCTCTGCTTCTCCATTTTTCCCATCCGTTCGTCATGATCCAGTTTTTGTTTAATATTCTCAGCCACTGTGCGATTTTTCCGATAATACCTCTTTTTGAGGCCAGTCACTTTAAGTATAAAATTAATAAAGTCGGCATACTCCACGCGTAGAAATTGGAAGAACGATATGCGGTGCTTTTCTTTGTGATCCCTTCTTTCTTTGGCAGTCGTCAATTGAATCTTCAACAGGGATACTATCAAATTGATTAGCAGAAACTTGACCACAAAGCCCAACATGGCATACAATACAAGGCCCAGCCACATGCCGCCATTAAATAAATCTTCCGGATCCACGTGATCGTTATAGCCAAAGGCAAAACAAGTGAGTGCCACAATGCCCGAGGACATATCACTGAATTGAATTGAGTGATTGCCATTAATTGTGACAGCTGCAACGCCAATGGCCACAATAAATACGATCGTGCAAACGAGAGTGCAAAGGAGCGCCTTCCATGCCATCGAAAATGTTTTGGTGAAGAGCTGAAAAGTTCCGGAAAACTGCATCACCTTCCACAGCCGCATGGTGACCAGAGCCACGGCGAAACCCTTGAGAACACTGGCAAAGTAGGTGAGTTGTGATGGTTCGCGAAAATCGATAAACTGCGTCATCACAGCGATTTCCACGTTCTGTATCATCGATTGGACCCGGTTGTCCCGGATCCCCAAGATCAGTGCAGTCATCAAACTGAGGATCACGATCATGGCGTCCAACTGGATCCACAGGGTCTTCAGCAAACGCGGGTCGTACCAGATCTTGACGAAAAACGTCTTGGCAAACTGCAGCCAGATGATGACAAATATGAATAACATCAGCATGCCGCTCAGCGGAAAATCTTGTATTTGATCCACGAAAACGTTGCTTTCGACTTGAATGTGCGTGCAAATACCACCGAAGGGAAAATGCTCCACCCACAGTGTGCACACGCTAAAGACATTCGCGTCCGCATTGTACAAAGTGAAGTCCATGAATAGAGCACTCGTATTCGAATCCAGCCACTGATTATCGAATAAGTAATCAAGAATCATCAGACTTTTAAGGCGCGTGTCCGAGAGCAGGATTGTGTAGCCCTTTGATTCCGGATAAGAGAGAAATTCACCGTAATGAGTGATGCCCAGGATCAGATTGTACCGGAAACTGGTAACACGCGACACCCAGGGCCGATAAATGGTCCAGAATTTATTCGTATACGGTTTTCGTTGATATGGCAATTTCCAGCCCTCCATGTAATCCCTTTCCGTGAAAACAGGCTGTCGCAAGCCCACGTGGTTATCATCCGTCCTCAGCTGCCTCAATCGCACCACGCCCAACAATCTCGTGGATTCCCCATTTACCCAAGGAGCACCTCCACTCGTATTGCTGCCATCCGTAAAAGCATGGATCAGGGTATATTCCATGAAGTTATAAACATCCGGCAGCCGAGACAAACTTGATAGTCCGCGCGTATATTTATGGTCATACTCGAAGAGGTATTGCATGCCTTCCGTGTTATAGTAGAGAAAATGATCAAACGAGACCAAAACCATGCCGAGAAATACCAGAAATAGCTTGGCCGTTAGAAAAAGTTCTTCGGTTATGCCGCGATACTTCAGATTAACCTCCTCATTTCGATGGCTTTCCGTGATGATCAGCTCACTGCGCAATGTCCGAAGTCTTAGTCTTAATTTCTCCATTAAGGACTCAACCTTTGGCTTTTCATCGGGGGGTCCGGAGAATAGATGAGGTGGCCACCAGGCGGCATCGAGGGATATTATTGTGAAATTGATGGGCGTACAAATAATTATCCGAAGTAGAGTGACCGCCAAAAACGACACCAGGATCTTATTGAACTTGCCATCCTCATGATTGAAGCCCGAGAATTTCCAGATGAAAACTGCACATACGGTTATTATAACCAATGTCATATAGATTATCATGTTACTGCTCTTCTTCGCCATTGTTCGAGCGTTTTTATTTTGAATTTCCTTTTGGAAAATAATTTTTTGACAACACAAAATGGAGTTCTTTGTAGACTGTTTTTCAAATCAATATTTGAAATTAATTAAATTTTGTGTCATCACTTCCTTTCTTACTAATTTTATTAAGAATGTTGCTAAATGAGCAAAGTGAAAAAATTTTGCATTTGCTGATTTTTTATCAGTTGGTAATTATATTTAAATTTAAATTTTATTTCCCTTTTTTTAAGTTTTCTGTGGGTAGAATAAAAAACGATTTTCCGCTTTACCATGAGATAATAATTTATCTAGGTTCAATCTCTTCAAAGTGGCCAATTACTTTTGAGACTTTGTAAAGAAAGAAGTAAAAATCACTATTATTCTTATTTGTTAGAAAAAACCCTCGAAAAGGTTTATTAATTCCTGTTTTTATTAAACATGTCAGCTTGTTATTTAATAAAATATAAAAAAAATCCGGAAAGCATTTTATATAACTTTCAGTTCTTTTCGTATATTTCTTTTCCAGTATATACAATTTAAAGAGCTCTCTTCATGCCCTCATTTTGCAGTTTGTTTGCAGGTTTCCCCGAAAATCCATGAAATATTCACCTCTCTAATCCCGCATCTGGTATTCCCAGGCAGCCTTAACTCGCTTTAATTTCACTTGCCTGCTGGTAGTTAGTTAACCTTGCATTTCTTTGTCCTTGTCGGGTGCAAGCCGTGTACAAATTATTGTGCTATCAGTGGCACTTCAATGGGCTCCCAGCAGTTGCCACTTAGAGCGGCAGATTCACCACCGCCCCCACATTTTCCGCCCGATTCCCTGGGCATTCTGCCACCAAGTTCAGAAGAGCTGGGGCTGGCAATAAAATTCCTAAACCTTTTTTGACAAATGAAACGTGCAACAAACAAGACGCTCAAGCGACTGCAGGCACAGCAAAGTAAGAGTGGCGGTGGGTTGAGGCCTCGGGAGCCAGCAGCCAGCAGCCAGGATACAGGAACTAGGACCAAGGACCTAGGACGAGAATCTCGGAATGAGCCGAGCTGCAGTGCCAACAAAGATTTATGCATTTTACAGGGCAGACTACGCTTCATGCGAAACTAAACGGCAAACAGTTTGAGTGAGGAAAGCTTTCACTCTTTTTACAGGGAAAGAAAATGTTATTAAAAATTTTAAACAAAAAAGTACATACTTGAATAATACACGATATTTATATAATGATTTTATTTACCAATTAAATTGTGTAATTTTTCTGTTTATCTGTAAGAAACATCTATGATTAATTAATTATATTATATTAATAATTATAACACCATTTTGTTCATAAAAGTAATACTAGTTGGATGTAATTTTGATATGCTATAATTAATATTGTATAGATTCACGAATATACTGTATTTAAAACACCCTATATAAACCATCCTTTTCATAATGAAGATTCTTAGATTATGACCTATAGAAAGTCAATCAATTTAGCATGATATTTATACAAAATACCAAGGTAAATAATGAATTAACTGAAATATGTAATGAAACTTATAATAATTTAAAGCTGAATCACATAATTTCTTTCTGTGCACCATCTATTCATTCTTGGGGGAAGCGGAAATGAAGCATCACATGCCCCATGCCCCCCTCGGATCTGGGGTTCCAGGGGAGGAAGTCCATTGTGCCTTTTAATAGACTGAACTACACGGCATCCGACTCTGAGCGCCGGCATCCTGGCACTTTGTTTGCCGGCAAACATTTGTGCAGCTTATTAATATGCATGGCACCCGGCTTTTTCACCCCTCCACCCCCCCACTCCCCATCAGAATTAGCCGGAGGAGCAGGTGCGTCCGGGTCCACCCCATCCAGGTGGCCACCCCATCACCGCCTTGATTTTTCCGCCCACCTCGCCAATCGGAACATTTTATCTCCTAGGCCAAGTGCAAAAGTTTTAGCTGTTCTCGGTCCGTATCGAAAAGTCGTTAGTAAGCTGACCGCAGAAAGATGTGAGGCGAAAGTGCAGCGGCCCAGTGGAAACTTCGGGCCCAACTGGCCGCTCCTATTTCTTCTCAGCCTCAGTCGCAATCGGAGCAAAAAAATGGCCAACTTCAACCTAAGACTTGCACTTAGCCCGCACAAAAGTTTGCTGGCCATTCCAAACTTTCGTGGCTGAGCCGGAGATGAAACTGAAGCTAAAGCTGAAACTGAAGCCCCATTGTGCCGTGAGTAGATTTGTGGACCCGGGCATATGTCTCATTTCGGAAGTGAGGGAATTGCGGAACGACTGAATAAAGTAACCGCAAAATAGAATTAATAAATATGCTAAACACTTTTCATTTAAATTCATTGTTTATTTCTGGTTAAATTACCAAAATTTTATAGGTCTAAGAAAGTAACATTAATCTAAATTTATAGTTTCCAAATTGAATAATCAAATTGTTTTTTCATCGGTTTCTTGGGGGGTAATTTAAACCAAAATAAAAAAGGAAATCCATTTTAAAGTAATTCCTCAGTCTAAACGATTAAATCATTTGTGGAATTATAAGCTTATGAATTTTAACAATAAGAAAATGTCTTTCGCACAAAGAATATTCTTAATAAAGACAAATAACTTGGAATATGAATAAATGTGTTGCTTCCCTTCGTCAGGCTTACATCAAATTGACGGACTTCCTGACGGCCATCATCCTTTTTGCGAGCGCCCATTCAAAATCGGTGCCCACATGGCGTATACTTACTTCCGGCGGCACCCTTTTTCTCTCCGCTCACCATTAATCATCGAAGTAGAACAAGCTGAGCACATGCACTTATAGATTTGTCAGACACCCACGCACACACACACACACACATACAGTGCTTTTCCCGCAGCCGGAAAATCAAATTAAGATAAAATTAAAAGCAACAACAAACAGACGAGCTGAATGCAATTGGGGATGCCCGTCTTGGTGCATGGGGATTCGTTTATTTTTTGGCAAACACACAACATATGCGTCCCGTTGACAAATAAAGTTTACAGATATGCACACACACGGAGGCAGGGAAAACTGACACACACACACACAGAGGCAGAGGAAAAGCGGAAGAGAGATGGCAACGCACACGAGTAAACAATGGCGAACAAGCGAATGAGCAGATGGTTAGGGCCGAAAGAAATGGGCGAGGTGGAAAACAACTCCCCAATGAAATAGTTTATGGTAAACCGCAATGCGAAAAATGTCACCTCCTGGCAAAAATGAGCGGGGCAACGGGAAAATGTGGCAATGTGGAATTGTGGGGATGGCAATGGAAATGCCAGCGAAGATGGAGTGGCGCATCCAACTGGCTAAACAAGTGCGGAAGTTGTTTGCGTTTGCCGCTGGCAAAGGCCAAGCGGAAGCGGCCTATTGGGCAATGGCAATGACGGCAGTCGACTGTCGCCACCGAGCGGAAATGAGCCAACTTGGCTGCCACATGGGGCGCAAAAGACGCCGCCTGACAATATCCAACAGCGACTGGAGAAAGATGAACTTGGAGCTCCAAACAGAACCTTTACGCACTTCTTGAAATGTTTTTTGAAAATCATATTTATATTCACAACTTTCAAGAATTATTCTTGCTTTTACTAGAATTTTTTCTTGTGTATATAGAAACACAATTAGCCTAGACTAATTGCTATTGAATTTAATTTAATAATTTTAACATTGAAATTTATCCTTAGCTTTTATTTTCCAAAACTACAAATTTCAAACTATTTCTCGGCTAAAGCTAATTTTAGCTCATCATGACTTTTAAACCAAGAACTTGTATGACTTATTTTAGCTTTTGTTTTCATCAAAAAATTGACGATTAGAATTAGTTTTTCGTTGCCATTTAATCGAACTAGTTTTATTGGTAAACTCATAGGTAATTTCAATTTTTTCCCAAAGTCAACGCTTTAGTATGGTTAATTTTGTATAGCTACATTCAAAACGTTGATCCTTAATCGAGGAAATATTATTGGCGATCTCTACAGCTATTTAAACAAAAAGATTCAAAAAATTCAAAATACAACTTTCAGTTAACGATTACCCATAATGGGTTCAGGTATACGTATTTATTCGGCCTATGCTTAACGACGGACTTAACTAGAGGATTGCGCCTTACAAGTGGGTTTTTTGCACTCCCACTCCCTGAGATGTGTAGCACCTTAACGATTGTTCTATATCCACTAAATTCTGGTTTCTAAGGTCCTCGGAGAGGTGGTTCTGTGAAGCCGGCATTTCGAGAGTCGCACCGATTGGCATCCGCTTCCGTGGGGACTACGTCCTTGGCCAAATCCAGAAGCTTTTCCAAAGGACACTGGAACTCACAGCCGGGAACTGTGAGCTTTTGTGCCTGACCCTTGGGATCGTTACGGAAGTAGATCTCCACCCAATAATCGCCGGTTTCCTTGTTCTTATGCAGCTCAAACAAAACCATCGAGGAGTAGCGAGGCATTTGGCGTTCCCAGATCTTCAGGGCGGCAAGAACGTTCACCACCGTCGAATCGTGACCCGTGTATATGAAGAGTTTTCTGTCAGTGGGTTTCAGGGTTCCATTCTTCTTCTGCTGCATTTCATTGAACATTTTCTTGAGGAAGGGACCACCCTTGATCTTCTGCATCTCGGGTGTGTACACATTGTAAACGTAACTCTGCTCGGCCAGGAACTGCAGTCTCTCCGGGAAATAGGAATGCGTCCACTCGGGCAATTCCAGACCCCACTCCTGTTCGGCGAGCAGTGTCAAATACAGGGATTGCACATCCTCGGGCTCCTTGAAACTGAGGCCCGTATGCTCTTCCAGCTCCTTGTACATTTTCAAATAGGGTGCGATCTCGGCTTTAACCTCAGGCAACTCGTACACTTCATGCAGGGCCTCGAAATATCGCGGGCAGGGAGTTCGCACCAGTAGCAACTAAAAATTATAAAATATTAATTAAAAAATGGTTTAACTATTAAATAAAACATTTTTTTATCCTTTGATCATGCCGTATTAAATTAAATATACTAATCTAATAGAACCAAAATAGCTTCTTCAAGCCACAAAAATTAATTTAAAAATTTGCATAAAAAACCTTTAGAAGTTTATGAGGTATGCTTCCAATTTGTGATCAAAGTCAAGTCAAAATATGTTCATAAGATTTTTTCAAATAATCATAATCACTAATCGAATTTTAACACCACCTGCCAACACATACAAATATGACAAATTGTACCCGTGGTGAAGCCCATTGCTTCGATTAATCATTTCGATTATCAAGTATACGCACCGTATCCTGGCTGAGCTCCTGGGAGAAGACAGGTATGGGCTGCCAATTAAACCGGCTATTCCACTCCATATCGGTTCCCTTTGGCGGGAAGAAGGCGGCCAAAACGGTCTGCATGGTCATGTGAGTCCGCGGCACTCCCGTCGCCTGAGCGTGGACCAACTATCGGGGGGAGGGGAAGAAAGCGGTGACGGAGAAAGCCGAGAAGGAGAAAGCGTAGAGCCAGAAACAGAAAGAGAAGAGAAAGAGAAAAGAAGGAATTGAGTGATGAGCCAAGCGCGCTTGAGCTTTGCAATTTGTAAATGTCCGCACTATCAGGCAACCACCCCGTGGACGTGAGGCTAAGAGAGTATGGTCGGAGTACACAGAGAGAAATCTAATGCAGTATGCTGAATCTTTCTAGCTTCAGATAACGTCGATTTTAAATTAAACTGTTTAGATCCGAAGATTATTTTAATGGAAAAATTTCGATTTCTAATTTATTTAAAGAGTATTTAAGATTTCCTCTTCTATATTCTAAATTTAGTAATTGCAATGCTCCTTAACTGATTTCACATTTTTAGAAAATATTCAATATTCTGTACTTAGTAATGGACTAGTTAGATTCGGCAAAATATTTCTAAGAGCTAATGTTTTGTTTTCTTCTTGTATGTATTGTTTAAATTTTTCTAGTTCCTTTTTTTATTTCGACGTTAAAACGAATAATAATGATCTAGAATTTATAACTTTTATAAGGTAAATACAGCTTCCTTTGCACTTTTACTTAAATCGGCAATAATCTATTAAGCCTTTAAAAGACCAAAATCAACCTTTTTCTCTCTGTGTATGGGGGTTGTAAGGAGTTCTGCCTTGTCGGTTCGTTAGTGACTGCTTACTCACATCGGGACTGTAGTTGGGCGCCAGAAATTTGCCATAACGCTTACGCAGCCAAGTACCAATGTTGAACAGTTCGCGTTTGCCATTCTGGAGCGTTGATTTATTGCATGGCATGAGCGGATGGCACGTGAGACAACACCAGAGGTCCGGGATCCAAAGAGGGGGGATCCAAGGGACAGAGATGGAGAGATGGAGGAAAGTGTTATAAAATAATAAATGCCTTGCATTTTTGCAATTGCATAAACATATGCATGTGTATATGTTAATGCAGCCGGCCCCTCAGTTCCCATTCCCTCAGCTCTGCCAGCAAAACATTTGCATTTCAATTTATTTAAATGCTTTGCTGGGGGATGGGGGATCGGGTTTCTGGGGGGATGACGAGGCAAAAGTTTGCGCTACACAACTTTTTCTCCACTCACATTTGTTATTTGTCCCCAGCCAAAGGGATAGTAGGTCTCATTTACATAGGGATCCCTTGGATACGAATCCGCCGGCGTTCGTGGTCCATGTCGGAATACCTGAAGTTTAGCAATTACAATTTTTATTAGTCAAACGAATTTACCACAGTATGCAAATATACAACATATAAGTGTATGTCAAGCGATCGAAAAGCAGAAACACTTTAATTAGCTGGGTTTTCTAAGATTAAATTGTTCGTGCGACCCCAGAAGTTTTTCCTGTTTAATTGCTGATAAGAGTTTGTCTCATTTCAAGGTCAGCCCTGGGATCTAGATCGGACTATCAGTATATTTAATGACTGCGGTAAATGGGTTTCCAGTTAATCAATAATACAATCTGAGCTCAAACAAAAAGCAAAAGTGCGTCGCAGTTTTATTTGATAATTTCATTTTACGTTTGACTGCAGACAGGTTTTTGGGTAAAGTGTAATTTGGGGAGCCGGTTTTTTTTTTTGCTTTGGTTTTTTTTTCAGACTTGTAATTAATTTTTTCTGTGGGTCTTTGGAAGACAAATGAGTTGGCAAAGCATAAAATCGAGTTAATTAAAGTAAGAGTTATTTTGGAAAAATTTATAATTTATGCCCGTTTGTGTTAATACAGGTTATTTTAAAATAATTTTTTGACTTGTGCAAAATATTCCGCCATAAATAACCAACAATTTTTGTTTTTTTATTCACCTGTTGATATTACTATGACACCACTGTTAATTGAAATAGCTTTTGAATAGAACTATTGGCAAATACAATCACACAAAAAACAAAAAGTTCTTTAATTGGATTTCGCCCAGGTTTCCATTACCACTAACTCACTCTTTTTCCAAGGTCAAACCAAGCTTTTTATAACCAACTCGTCTTAACTTCAAGTCAAACAAAAATATTATTTATAGCTTGAGAAACATTTTCCGCTGGACTTTACGCCTGGCTGCACTTGATTGTTTTTCGTAAAGTGTAATTCTCAGCAATTAAATATATATAGATATTATCTAATTGAACTGAGCTGGACAAACCCAAGCTAATAAAAGCTAATATAATAGATGGAAATGCAAGACTAGTCTTCTGGGAATTCCAATATAAATACTTCTATCTTTATCGAACGAGCTTACTTTCCGTACTGATGGCTACGATTAAATGATCGGAATGAATCTTATCTGCTAGCGAGGCTGACAGTCTAATAAATTGTAGTCTGTACAATCATAATTACACACGACCGCAACAAAAAATTTGCCAGCGTTTGCACTTTCGCTCCACACGTTTATAAACAAATGCTTTATCAACAGAATGTTTGGTTTTTACTGCCCACGTAAATGTCAATTTCATAATATTAAAGGCAGAATTTAAAAGTGAGTGAATAAAATGTGTTATCAGCTGAATTTTTATTGTAAAGATGATTGCCGACTCTGAATTGTATGGAACGGCGTTAATTGGTGTGGATTTTTTTTAGGATATATAATATATATCCTATAATATATATGGCACAATGAAGGTGTTCTATGCTGTAAACTTGTTTTTAACGTAGTAAATTTGAACGTTTGAGGGGGTGTTTTCTGAACCAATTTGTTGTTGCACACTTTTTATAACCATATTTAATTTTAGTAATAATTTCTTTAAAAAAATTGAAGGGTGGAGGCTTAGGTTTACATTTAAAATCAATGTTTTAATAGCTTACTACTTGTTTGCCAGTAATATTTAATTTAAATAAAGCCTAATTTTTATACATTACAAAAATTAAAAACTTTAAAGAATGTAATTTATTAATCAGTTAAAAATTACATTCTTTAAAGTTGTTAATAAATTACATTCTTTAAAGTTATTAATTGAACTGAATAACTTTTAGATAAATCACTAATAGCACACATTTTTAAATCCTTTCACGTTTTATTTACTCAAAACTGTAACCTTTTATTTCAGTTGTTTTCTGTGTAGTGTAATGATCAATTCCAGCTTTGCCGCACAGCTGTTTTGTGTTCCGGATTTTAAATACCATATTTTTTGATTTATGTCGATTCGATTCGATTCGCGATGCCCACTAACTTACCACATGCAGCAGCTCGAGCGTGGATTTATCAGCGCCGGGATCGTAGAGCTTGGCCGTCGATTCGATCGCCGAGTGAGCGACGCACCAGATTAGAACCGCCGATGCAATTAATCCGCCCGTCATCGCTAGACAATGCCTTCGAGTGAAATGCGAACGCGGCATTTTGGTGGAGGCGCTTTATATACCCGTAGAATTTCTCAGGGGCTCGGATTCTCCGACTTTGCCGTTGGCTTTGTTTCTCTACGGTCTCTGTAGTCAAGTTTTTTTGGGAGTCAACAGTCTCGAGACAGATCGCCGACTAACTTGTTATAATCGCTATTCGCTTGGTCTTTATTTACTTTTGTGTGTTTATTAATTAAGCCACGAAACTAGCTAATTTAGAGACGTGGTGAACGGGTTTTTGCTCGATGCTCGATGCTCGACTTTAATTAATCGCACTGGTTTCTCCGAGTGTAGGGCTACTATCTTCTGTTTACCGTGGACTAAATAGTGAGCTGATTAGGCACTAAATATTCGACTTTTCCGAGGGACGCACGCGACTGTCTTAGTCTACTATCGTCGGCAATACTGCGGTGGCAAATATCATTGCAAAAGTCAAAATGTCGAAAAAGCATGGGTAGTGTTTGGCTCTTTTATCGTTCCATTATCGCCAAATGCTTTCGTCACCGTCGCTCTTTTTATCACTATTATTATTCTATTTGTTATTGTAGCTGGACGTCTATTGTACGAATATATGTTTGACCGAACAGAAGCCCCAGACACCGACAACAATGCCGCAGCGTTTGAGGCGTTTTAAAACGCGGCCGCGACTTTTAATTTATATGAACTCTCGGATATTTGCTCCGCTTACTTATTTTGTTCTGGTTAGCGCCGCCGCCCCCTCGCCGAAATACCAACGAATTTGTCATCGAAACTGCGTGTGTAAGCACTTTGGTAATAAATCGTTTAGCCTCTTGATCGAGCATTATGTAAATTTCACATTATCCATTCTCGTTGCTTAATTGCCGAATTTAAATATTGCTTTCGGGGCTGGGCGGGATTTGGTTTACGGTTTCGTCATAGTCCGGAAGTTATTGTAAAGCGACATCCATCTGGTAAAATTACATACTGCCCTTTTGTTTGGTTTCGTTTGGCTTATTTGTGATTTACTTCCGATTCGAATGAGTGGAGCCTCAAAAGCCAACTGATTGAATTTAAAAACTACCCAGCACATTTTATATGTGATGGATGTGTGGAGCTAAATGGAGTGGGTCGATTCAGATGTACACGAGAGCTGTTTCTTATCCACAAAAATATTTTCATGGTCATTACAACTTTTTCAAAGACTGGTCGAACTGGCAAGACACAATGCCTTACTTACTTATTTATTAAAGATGAGTATTACAAAAGGTTTGCTCAACATTATAAGGTCTGATATGAAGAGGTTGCTGAGACTTAAAATATGATTTGTTTAAATTTATCTAAAAATATTAATGTTAATTTAGAAATATTTATATGACTTATGTAGTTTACAGAGAGTACATTTTAAGCAATGATTTTTTAATAATAATACTTTTTACAACCATGGCTCTTTAAAACTTTGAACTCCAACATCGCCTAAAAGTATACCTAGGTAAAACTACAACGGTTATAACATATTGCGGAATTCATTAAATTTTAAATTATTTTATTATAGTTAATACTGCTACTACTGTCGTTCTTTAAGTACCTTAAACACCTGCAAATTCTAAACACAATATCCAGATTATGTTTATCAAACATAGTTTCAAATCCTTTTCGTGATAAAAAAGATAATAATTCTGTTAGGAAACGATTAAATAAATAGCCCAATATATTTTTAACTATTAACAACTCTTCAACCTTCCCACCGATTTATATTGTTATTAAACTAGTTCAGCTTGCTCTCATTTTAAAAAAGTTAATTAGTGGATCGTGCTAGTCAATCAAACCCCCATATTAAAGGTACTCCGAATAGTTACACATATATATATATATTTATTCTTTATGTAATCTTAATACTGAAAGCTGAAATCATGGACTTGCGGTCAGTAATTATAGCTAATCTTGGATACTTCCTGAGTGTCTTTAGCTTTGCACAGTTCGGAGTAGGGAGCATCTGGAATGATGTCCTTCGTTAGCTCTAATAACTTCTCAATGGGGCACTGTTTTTCACAGCCTGGAATCTGTACTTGTTGTGGCTCTTCCTCGGGATCGTTTTGGAAGAAGATCTCCACGAAATACTCTCCTGTTTCCGCCTTCTGATGCAACTCAAAGGCAATTAGAGCTGAGAATCGAGGCATTTGAGCCTGCCAGACATCCAAAGCGGATAGAACATTTGTGATGGTCCAATCGTGTCCGCAGGATAGAAACATTTTGCGATTATTCGGCTTCAGCTTTCCGGAGATCTTGTCCTGCATTTGCTTTAGAAGCAACTCGACGAAGAAGCCTCCCTTCAATTTGCGTAACTCGGTCGTATACGCATCGTAGACATAAGACTTGGCCGCCAAGGGCAACATCTTCTCCGGAAAGTAATCCTTGGTCCACGAGGGCAACTCCAAGCCGTAGGTTTGCTCTGATAGCAGTGTGATGAAAATACTGGTAACATCATGGACATGGGTAACATTGATTCCGGTGAGATTGGTCAGTTCTTGCAGCAAGTCGGAGTTTTCGGCATGGAGTTGTCTGACTTCAGGAAGATTTATCACCTCCTGAACTGCCTCATCGTATCGCGGACAATCCGCCTTCATTCTAATGCGCTGAAAATGTAATGATAAATAATTAATAACAAATAAATAAATTGAATTTTTATTATTCCTACCACATCAGTTTCTTCGGGTTCCATCACAATGGGAATGGGCTGCCAGTTGAGCAGCAGGTTCCACTCCATGGGAGTGTTCTCCGGCGGGAAAAGTCCGGCCAGCACCATTTGGAGGGACATCAAGGTGCGCGACGACTCCGAAGATTGGGCACGGATCATCTGTAATGTCAAGGTTTTGATTATTATTTTTTGTTCCAAAACCCCATGAGCTTGCTCTACTTATCGTACATCGGGCTGATAGTAGGGCGGCAGGAAATCTTTATAGCGCTGACGCAGTTGTTTGCCTATTTTATACAGCTCCACTTTAGCACCCTGTCAAATTTAAATTGCCTTTTAATTCGGTTAATCTTGTTTATATTCTCGCCAAGTACTTACGTTGGTTAGAGCACCCCATCCGTAGGGTTCGAAAGTTTCGTTGATATACGGATCGTTGGCATAAGTGCTCACAGGGGTTCGGGGGCCATGACGAAATAGCTGTCGAAAACAAAAGTAATTGGTAAATATTACCACCTAAATAAATCTATTTTGTGGAATAAATCAAGCCAGTACTTTATTATCACAAATATAACGCATGAAAAAATAAAAATGTATTTATTTTACGCTTTAAGCTATGCTCATTAAAGTCTCTAAAATAATATATTATGTTATATTTATCAATAAAAAATTTAATGTACAACTCATTTTTTCAATTGAATATATTCTTCATTAAATTTAAATCAGTACAAAAAATAATAGTACCTTGGTTTTTAATGAGCATCGTGCCAGCCTGATTTCAATAAATAAATATTGCCACAACTTGTTCTCTTACTTATTTAATTTTAATTGAACTATAACTATGCAAATTAATAAGGAAAGTCTGTGAATTCCTGCATACATATGAAACTTAAGTTTCAATAAACCGGTTTCAGTTCTTAATGCAATATTACGTATACGCCATGCAAACTGGCTTAGTAGGAGTTGCGATGGAATTGTGTTAAAAGAGAACTTCAATGGAAAACTAGCAGAATTATGGTTTACTTAAGAGAACATTTTTTTCATTGATTTTGGCAAGATTATACAATTTGTCACCACATGCTAATTGTTCATATTAAATGAGTTTGACACATTTCGGATAATTTTATGGTCTGCTGACTTGTTTAGTTGCCAAATATTTAATGAGCCCTATTTCTGTTTGAGCAGTTTTTTTTTACCACAAACGATTTTTGGCAATTATTGTGTTGTCTTTGCGTTTTTCACTTATTTACCACATGAACCAGCTTCAGGGTCGAGTTGCTTTCACTGATTTCGGATGGGTTTACACTACTGGTGTTTTTTGAATCATCCTCTAAGTCCTCAGTAATTTCCTGGGGAACTTCCACATCTATAACACCTCCGCGAACGATTAACACGCAGCTCGCCAATAGTAGCAGGCCGCAGAACTTTAGCATTTTTGCGAATTAAATTAAGCGGATCGTTAGGAATCAAGTGGACCGGCTTGGTTGGGGCTTGTGCGATGAGTGACTGCATCAATAGACTTGCGGACTGCTTTTAAGTCTTGATTATGTGGTCACCCATACAGTGCCGGGGTATTCACACACCCACAGATAAGAGCGGCGAAGAGCGAACTGCTCAATCAGCGAAATCATCAACTACAATAGCAAACAATTCGCAAAAATTCAATTTAATTATCACAATTTCACACGAAAATTATTTCCCCCCTGCGAAAAAATTAACTCAATGATCTTTATTTTTTGGGGATTTTTATTGTACTATATAATTTATAATATTCTTTTTTTCGCACTACTCTCCGTCGGCTGCTATTGTAATACTGAGTGCACAAGTTTCACTTTGGCACAAATTGGCTTTTCGCTAACGGCCATTCTGATCGATTATGCGCGGTGGCGGCTCCACGAAATTGTCGTCATGTGGTCGACATCTCTGCTCCGCCGGATCGTTGGGCAGAACTTCGGCACTCAGTTCGATCAGACGACTCAGGGGACACTGCAGATCGCAGTCTTTCAGCCGAAGCTGCTCCAAACAGCCATGCTCGTCGTTGCGGAGGAAGATCTAGAAATTGGGATGGCAAGGGATTAATTTAATGGGCTATAGAAATATGATTTATTTAAAGTTTCAAATTCATATTAATAACCAAATGCTAAATTTAAAAAATATATACAAATAGCTCCCAAAGCACTTAAAATAATTTTATGTTATATCTCAAAACCCTTTTATAATTTTTCCCACATAAATTATAGCACTATACACAATAAAAACTAAGGGCCGTGAGAATCTTCTAAGCTTGAGTTAAATTAAAGAAAACTTTAAACTGTTAAGAAGCAGTGAGAACCCTGAACTTATATCAAAAAGTAATTTTTGCATTATAATTCTTACCTCCACATAGTATTCACCGGTTTCCCTATTCCTATGTGTCTCGAAAATGGCCATCACAGCGAAGCGGGGCATCTGACGCTTCCATACACCCAAGGCCATGAGAATATTACCCACGGTCCAGTCATGACCTGTATATATAAACATTCCCCGATCCTTGGGCTTCAGACTTCCATCTCTCTTGGCAACCATCTCCTTGTACATTCTCATGAGGAAAGGTCCACCTTTGATCTTCTGCATCTCGGGGGTGTATGCGTTATAGACATAACTCTGTTCGGCCAGAAATTGCATCCGTTCGGGAAAGTAGTCTTTAGACCATTCGGGCAATTTATAGCCGAATTCCTGTTCAGCCAACAGAGTTATATAGAGGGAGTTTATATCCTCAGCACTCTGAATTGATTTTCCAGTGAGATTTGTTAACTCGCGGAACATTTGCTGGTAGGCTTCAGTTTCGGCGATAACTTCTGGTCGCTTAAAAACCTCCTCGAGGGCCTCAAAATAACGAGGACAGGGCGTGCGAACCAGCAGGAGCTGAATAGCAAAAATTAAATTTAAAATAAAATTGAATTATATAAGACTCGAGAATTGAAACCCACCGAATCCTCATCCAAGGGTTCCGATACGATGGGAATGGGCTGCCAGTTGAGGTGCTTATTCCACTCCATGGGGGTTCCCCGCGGCTCAAACATGCTGGCCAGTGTCGTTTGCAAGGACATCATGGCCCTCGGTGAGGCAGTGGCTTGAGCATGCAAGAACTGCGTAATTTAAATGGCTTAAATACGGGATTACTTAATGTTAAGCCCACTTACATCCGGCCTGTAATAGGACCCCATGAAATCCCCGTAGCGACGATTCAGCCAGCGACCCATTTCGAAGAGTTCCCGTTTTCCAGACTAGAAATATAGATAACATTTTTAAAAAACTAGAAAAAACGATTTCTTTCTTAATTTAAAAAGTCCCAATTTCTACGAATTTTCTTAGTAACAATTTTTTTACGTTGATGTATAATAAACAACACAATACAGTGTTTAAATAGTCAAAATTCCTGAGATATTTGTTATTTATTTTTTTTTATTATTGTTCTTAATTTGATGTTTTAAAAATAATCGTTCCAAATAAAATAAATTCAAAAGTTAAATTCCACGAACAAGCAGCAATTTCAATCACAAAATGTTGTTGTACATTAAATTGTTTATGTTCTTTTAATTTAGTATAAAATGAATATCACTCGAGCACTGTTACACATAAACCTAATGCTTAATCATAACACAAGTAATTAATCATAACACAAGTATTTCCACAAATTATCAAATATTTAACTTTTTAAGATTTTTAAGAAAATAAATTTGTTTTTCACTCACATTAGTCACATGTCCCCAGCCTGTTGGCTTAAAGCCTTCGTTTATATATGGATCTTTGGGATAGGTATCCACCGGAGTGCGAATGCCATGTCTGAACACTATGTGCACCAATTCCAGCGTGGAGCGTGTGGTATTGGGACTGGTCTTGTAGCACTTGGATCTGGCTGCATCCTTCCAGTCCAGCCTCTCCGAGGACACACTGCTGTTCAAAACACCGATTATAATTACAACGCCCAGAAGGCCAGCTCCCAAACCAAGCATCGTAAGTATTTGTTTACGCGTCCAGCGACCGAATATCATTTTGCGGCTGGTTTCCTTTTTATATCGATCGAAAAAAAGCCGGAAGAACCGATATTCCGAATTCCCCGAAACGAGATTTGGGTGATATATTTTTGTTGCCTTATTTATTTGCTTTGTTTAATTGCAGGTTAAGTTTTTTTTACGATTTTCCCTTTGCGTTTTTTTTGGATTTTTCGGTGAGCTGCAAGACGCGTGCAACCCACTGCGCGTCTGGGGTTAAAATAAAGCGTTGACAGCTTGATACGGGGAACTTAAAAGAGAGATAAATCAACGATCGTCCATTCGGCTATTGTTGCGTCAAGTGCTGTTGTTGTTTCTAGTTGCTGCTACTGGTGACCACTTTCCATCGAACTCGGCTTCGAGCCGAGTTTACAAGCCAGGCTTGCCAAGTTGAAACAAAACAAATCAAAAAAAAATCCCAACTAATTGGGCGTTTCTCATTGAACCAGGCAATTACGTATACGATATGTACGAGTATTTGCGGAACGCGACTTTTCGGTAGCCACAAACACATTAAATAAAGTCCCACCAACCCCTTTTTACTCTATTTATAGCACTGTTACGCCCTCTCACATCCAATTGCACATTTCTTTGGCAGTTCGCATGGTCATTATCTTGTGTCCAATTTCGGAAATTCACTTCCTAGAAAATATTAAAATTAGTTCGTTGTCTTTTGAGTCATAGCTAGGTAAACTCCCAAGCGAATTCATTGGGTTTTATCGCTTTTATTTTACTTTCATTATTATAAACTAGAAAATTACTAAATTATAGCAATAATTGAAAACAATCATGCAAACTTTTAATTTTGATCACAATTTAATTCAAGCTAATCTTTATTGAGATTACTTAACGTTTTTAACGTTCTAAAGGTATAATATAAATCAATTAAAACTGTGGTAGGTTAGTAATCAAAAGGGGTGTCTGTATTTTAAATAATCTTATAGCTAACGTTTGAAATTACGAAAGTTCTTACTCAGCATCGCTCTTTCCACAAGTTATCGTAAAAATCTATATCTTAAACTCGATGTGCTTAGAAAAGACAACGAATAATAAAAGCTTAATATATGTGTTTGCTTTGGCTGCACTAATTATTTGCCTTGTTTCACTTTGTTGACACTTGGTCTCCGTGGGGAGATAATAATTTTGAGTTGCGTGCTCGCAGTTTCGTCTTGTTTGAACAAGTTGTTGGGTTGGGTTTTACTTTTTTCAACGGCTGTCAGAAATTGGCAAATAAATGTGAGTAAAGGTCTCTATTTCGCTGAGAATATCTCTGTGTTTGCTAAATGTTCGTTTGGTGTCACATTTGCTTTTATTTTGTTTGCCCGAGAGCTAATTAACTGGACCAGGCGGACTAAGTCCGTGTTTGTCGATCACTGCTCTGCCATGTGGCTAATTGTTCTCTAAAATGTATTTTATGGTTAATTAATGACAGCGTCGGCAACTAACAGTTAACTGTGTCTTTGCCAGCTTCCGAACTATGCAATTAAAGGCAAAAACTATATAAAACACAAACAATGAGTGCGCCGTGTGCTGAATACACTACAATTTCGTGATTGTTTGTGACTTCTGACTGAGTGTCTTGAACTTTCGTCTAGTTTTTTGAGCTGTTTCTGTTTTTATTTGAGCTCAAATCAAAATCAATATAATTTATACTCGAACACACAGCATATGGCATATTGGCAACTATGTCCGAGTGAAACGCAATCGGCATTTGAATTGCATCAGCTGAAAAAACATTTAACATTTTTTTCAGTAGAATAGTGAAAATAAATGGCCTTGCTAACGTACTGGGAAAGTAAATTTAAAGTGAATTTGGTTTAAGTCACCGTATAGTAAATTTTAAGAATCAATTAACTGTTTGCTAAGTTTTATATGTGTAATAAATAAAGGTTATTTTTTTGTTTTCTAAGTGGACTATTTAAATTATTATGGAATTTCCCTGAAAGTGTATTTTTCTTATAATCGGGGTCTTCTGATTCAGTTTAACATAAGTACTCTATTTAAATATTTTATTATATTTATATTTATTACGCAATTTCAGAGGAAATATTTTAATGAGTTGTTATACTCTCTTATCATTAAACCACGTGCCAAAAAATAATCCGGGGAAAACCGAGTCATTTTAATAACATATTTACAATTGATTTTTTAACTTCAATATTTTCTTCTGGGAATCTAATCACTTGTTATTATATTGTTTTCAGTAAATAGTGTTTTATTTGTTCCGCTGTGGTGATAAGCTCCACAGATTATTTATTTGTTTTTGAGCATTTAACTATATTTTTAAGCTTCCATCTTCTTAGCATTTTGCCAGCACGTGTGTGCTACATCTGGAATTTATTTTCAGATTGTTGAATTGCTCTCCTAAGCCTATTTGCTAATGACTTTCACTGAAATTTATGGTCACTGCGCCACTGCACAAGAAAAACGAAAAACAAAAAAACAAAAAAAAAACAAAAACCCGAAAATATTTTCAAATAATATATTTGTGGCTGGTCAGAGGTTGAGATGGGCGGTTTATATGGAAGATGGGCGGAGCACGTGCTAAGTTGGCCATAAAACGTGCATTAGACAAACAGCAAAAATGGGAAACGCTTTTGGCCCAAAAGCGTCTTAAGGCTCAGGAATCCATCCAGAAACACACACACAGACAAGTGGCATTAATATTTATCAGACTCGCAATTACGATTACCGACATCCCAGACAAACTATCCGGCAAATGAAACCCGGTGATCAGGGGTGAAAAACAGAGGACGGAGGGGAAGTCTAGGGAATTCCGCCAAATTGCCGGACAAAACGTTGCCGCGAATGCTTGGCTAAAATTTATTGATTCCGACGCATTGAAAATAGTTCTCGGTGGAGCAATTTCAAAGATTTGTACGACACATTTTTTTTTTCAACGCTTCACGACTCTTCCTCACTTGAATGTTTCTGGCTGTTCTTTTTTTACATTTTCGCTGAAATGGCTGAAAATTTCTAACTGACGGGCATAAAAATTCGAACACGCGTAGTTACACACACACACATACAGTGTGTCCCCAAAAAAGGGGCGTGGCCATTTCTATTCAATGAGACAATGAGCGTTGGACCCGGGTATTCTGCGTTCGGGGATTACGTCTGGACCGCGTTTTTTGGCAACAATTTTGAAGGGGAAACCCGGGGATGGTTCACAAAGGGGTCAGGAAAAATCAGAAAAGGGGTGGGGGAAATTCGGAAAATCTGGGGGCAATTCGGTGAGGGAATGGGCGCACTCTGTGTTGTCGCCTAAACGATAAAGCAATGACAAAAGTCAGCAGCGATTAAAGTTCAATTGGTGTGACCTGCCAATTGGCATAAAGGAAAAAGATTTCAAATGGCAGCCAAGTTGGCAAAATGTTGGGCAGCCGGAAAAGTGTTCGGGTGTGAAATGAAAAGTGGGGGCAATGAAAACGACGAGCGAATAAAGGATTGCTGTACAGATAGGGCAGAAATCTGTTGAGTAAACAAGACAAATAGTTGCTGGACACTTGACACAAAAAATATATGCCAGTTACTCTACGCAATACGATTCCTTTAGTAATGTTACGTTAATATATTAAATCATTAGGAATATAAAATAATTTAATATAATTATTATTGTAATAAATTAAAAATAAATATGGGAATGGGTATATGAACGAAAAACGTCAAGGATTTTCTTTAAAATAAATGTAGCCGAGTATTTAGGAAAATAAACTTTTTGGCTCACAATTCTCACTTTTATGCAACAATAAAAATAAATTTGTATTTCCTAGTTCAATGGACTTAAGTTATTTCAGTAACAGTAAAATCCAAATACGTATTTTGCTTAAATGTAAAAAGATTAAACACCGGTTTTGACCTCTTAATATATACATATAATAGTCATGCGTGGCCAAACAGAAGCGTTTATTGCCGTCCCTGATTATCGCATATTAATGAGTTTATTTAACTTTTTCGTTGCGATTGATGGCCTAGAGGGGCGGCTGCGAGTGGGTGGGCGTGGCTGGGCTTTAAGGGGGTTAAGTTCTGGTTAAATGTGCTCATCTCATGTACGGCGGCTGTTTGTGAAGCTTTTCACAGCAAATTACAACAAATTATACACATAATTACGCTTTAATGTTCGGCCTGCCCACGCCCCCAGTTTTCTGCTAACGAGACTCCGCCCCCTGCCACGCCCCCACGCCCATAACCGCCTCCTGTTCTTGTCGTGCAACGCATCAATGCAAAGTAAAATTGTGTGTAAAAAATGTGATAATTAACTTAAGTCCTTTGAGAATTTGCGGGAGTTCCCGGGGAAAGGTTATGGCCTTATTCACACACATGCAAATGGAGACATATATAAATGCATGCATACATGTCTGCCTTTTTGTTTGTGCACATAAACTCATTGTCAGTTAATTATGTAAAATGTCATATATACACCTACTCGGGCGTTTATGTGTGCTCATATTATGCGGTTCAAAAGGAAAAATGTTGGCATAAAAGGACCTTGCTTTCACTTCAAAAACAAAAAACACGCAACAAACGAACACCCACGATTACACTACGTATCTATGTGCGTTTGCATATTTGCATACTGTTGTTTGTGTTGCGACCGGAAGCCTAATTGTGTGGCATTTGCAAAGGCTTTCTTTTGGGGTATAACAATTTTTAAGGGACAGTCGACATTATACTACATTATTAAAAAATATATTATATTAAAATATTGTAACCCAAAGTTGCACAAAATATTTATGTTTAGAAAGTCGATTTTAAACATGTATTTCATTTTGTAAAATGCATTCTAATTTCTCGAGTACAAAGAAATAACAAAAAACTGCCTTTTTTAGATAAATAAATAATATAATATATGTTTTTAATATTTATATGTGCCATGATTTCTTTTTTAAGCAAGCGGTTAGCAAAAGAGTTTAAAAATATTGCAAAACATTATTAAGTTAGTAGGCATCAGAACATGAGTAAAACATAAAAGTCCAGACTTACCATTTGTATTGCCGATTGATTTCCTTTAGAATGCCTTTTCCCTTATTGTATATATTATATTATTATGTATGGTATGGGTTCCATGATTTGTTTTCCATTACCCGTTTAACGCCAACGAAATTAACACGAGTGAAATGGAAACGAGCGAAGAGTGTATGTCTGGTTTGTTATGCGCAATAATAACATTTCACTTTTGTGCTGTGAAATTCCTGTGGCTTCATAAATTTAAATTTTGTTTACCCACTGAAACGCCCAAACACCCACACATGCCCAGGTGTTTTATAGAATTATTCCCAGCTTCTGTGGCTCGCTTTTCATTTCATTTTTGGCATTCAAGGCCCCGGGAACCCTTCGACTTTTCTTCATT